GTTCACAAAGAAAACCGGGCTTGTCCAAATGGCTGTGGGCTAAAAAGCTAGCCAGTGGGCATCCCAGGTGCCAGCGGGCACTGTCCTAACTGTGTACCTTTGGCCAGAACTCATTATAGGGTGACATTTAGGACTGCTGCTGTCCATGCCAAGTCAGCCCTCTGGATTGAGACAAATTATGTAGTTATTTTTTATGTCAGACATTAAGTCATGTGCAGGGGGAGCCAAATCAGTATCACCTTCATGTCAGCTGGACAAAAAAAAAAGAGATGCATGCTTTGGACTTCTTAAATAGGGGTGTTGTTTCACATATTTGTTGAAAAATGCAGTTTCACAAAACAAGGTGAAGTTCATTGATAGTCTGATTTGAGGTGCAAAATGATGAATGAAAATATGAAATGTCAGATAATAAACTCAGTATGAGCTCAGCTTTTGTTTTACTGTAAATTTATTCTAATTCTTTCTATCAAAACTCAACATAATTATATAATTACTGAGAAAAATATCAGCCTGTTAAGCTGTCTTAGTGTGGTTTTTTTCCTCTATATCCAAGAAGACAAGTCCCATCATGCAGAGAACTTTCTACCTGTATGCAACAGAATGTAAAATAGTTTCTTTACCTGCTCTTTGAAATGTCGTTCACAAAAAAAAGACAAACAGTTTTGAATTTGATAAAAGACTATAACTGAAGGATCATGAGGGGGTTTAATACTAAAAAAAAAAAACTTCCAAAACATGTGTTATATAATCCAAACATTTTGATGATCATCATGACTCTAAAAACTTCTACATTTAAAAACAGTTTCAGTGGTTACTTGAACCAAATGTATAAACTCAATCTGTATTTCTAACCTGTGCGTATATTGCAGAGGGAATCATGAGTCCTTGTTGCAGATTCTTCCATCAAGCCAAATCATCAGCAACCCACCAGCCGAGCTAAACGTGAACAGAACCAAGGCTCCATCTTGTGGTCTAAAAGAAGTACAGTCACTCTTATCTTTGCTCATATGCTCGCCACTACCTTCTTAAGATGATAAATATATGTAAGCTTATCAGACAAAGACAAGACACGTAAAAAAAGTATAATACTACGATATGTGTACGGGGAATATTAAATCTGCAGTATAGAGCAATCATTAAGCATTTTATGGTCATCTCATTAATTCAGAGAAACATTTATGATTTGAAGATCCCATGAAAACATCAAACTGAGGACATAAGCAGCTCCACACGTTCATTAATAGCAGATGGACTTGCTTGCAGGTATCTCACAAAGCATGAAATGAATCAAAGTTGTTTATCTGCTTTGTATTATTGGCCAAATTATAGTTAATTGCTCATTTGATGTATTCAGAGTAAAGCATTCATATGATGCATATGCTCCGGATATTTTCCACACAAACTTCAGGATGTAACAAACAGGAAGAAATGGGATGTAATTGATTATAAGTTAATTGTGCAAAGGTCTCCCTGATGGGAACCATCTGTCAAAACAAGCCCAACATTCACTAATTCTAATCATAATTAATTAAATGGCTAACAAATTACATACATCATAGTTAGTACGGGGGGGAAACTACCGCAGGAAATGTTATGAAACAAATTATCTTTAACAATGGAAGAAAATTACACCACATAACTAAATATTATACTCGTTTCCGCGAGCCATATTTCTTAATGAATTCTCTAATTAATTTAATTCACACATTGTGCATAATTTGGAGCTGGAAATGTCAGTGGGTCAGACTTAACCGTATTGTTGCCGGCTGTCTATTTCAACGAGTGCCATATTAGCACAACATGACCTCTACACACAGCAACTGTTGTAATTTGAATTCCAGGGTTTAATTAATATGTTCTACTGATATCAAGTACATTTAGCTCCTTTTACACATGCCCGTGTCAATGCTCGGTTTCCATTTGCTTTAATATGATTTGTCTCTTTGGTGGAAACGTCATAACAGATCATTTTAAAGATGTCAAGTATGACAAGAAGGCCTTCATTGTTTCATGCTTCATGTGTTTAGTGCTGAACTTTCTGGTTAGGGTGACTCAACACTCTCAAAACTAAAGCCATGACTGAGCTCATTCGCACAGCACTTTTACATGTTAATGAAAACAGTATCGCTAATAGAGGAGGGAATTGTTAACTCTTTTCTCCCAGTTTTAGTGTCAACAGGAATTTTTCAAGGTAGTGAAATTGATTTGCTTGAATGGCATTTTCCAGATGTTACATTAGAATGAAATAATACCTGCTGAGATCCATACTGCATTATAATTTATCTGTCGGACCCAAGAACTGTTTTTTGTGTTTTTATTTTTCTTTAGGTTGCAGTGAAAGCATTTACATTTATCAAAGTATGACACTCAAAATACAGATTAAAGAAATATCTGGTGATTTTGGGGCGGGGAAAAAAATAGAATATATTTAGACAGGTTTGATACAAATATACAAATTCAGGTTTGAAACAAAGCATATTCTAAAGGTAAATGCAGCACATACACTGTTTCTCTCTGTTTACAGTCTTTATGTTAAGGCTAAACTGACCAACTTCAGAAGCTGAAGATCTAGAGAGTGGAGTTTCACATCCAGCTTTTACCTCATTCGCTTTTTCAGTCATTTCCCTTTAATACCACAATTTATGTTCATGGAAAATGTTGAATTTACTAACTGATATTTCCATATTTAGTCTACCTAATTAATGTAAATTATATTGGAAATCACTTAATTTGCATAAAATATGAATCATCAGCTTTTTAAAGATTATTTTATGGGGTCTCACATTTATTTGGAGAGGACAGCTGAAGATAGACAGGGAATGTGGGAGAGAGAGAGTGGGGATGACATGTACTAAATCACCTTGCAGGATTGGGATTCAAACCTGCGACGGTGTGACAAGGACTGCCTCTGTTCATGGGACGCAACTGAGTTGAACCAGAACCCCAATAGCTAAAGGACATATCCTATAAGATGAAAAAGCACATTGTTTCATGTCAGGTAATGCGACTAAGCATGAAATCATGTGCAGTTTTCTTAGCTGTATGCTCAGTCACCTGTCTTACCTGTGTTTTTTTTTTTTTTAAACCCTGTGCTCATACAGTTTACAGAAAACACTATCAAATTTACCAAATGATGCCATCATGAGCGTGAATGCAGAATTGGATGAATAAATGAATAAATTGCCCCGTGCACAACAACATATAAGCTAATACATGCATTACAGGGCTCGGGGGCTATCCCGAGGCCAATCATTTAGCTAACACACTAATGAAAGCGTGTGTAGTGTGGCTAAGGGCAGCCACCATGGGAGGGTACCACTCCCCTCCCTCCTCATGTAGGGGGGCTGTTAATAGGCTGGATGGAGCCAATGGGAGTCCCAGGAGAGGCCAGCTGATGAAGAGGAAAACCTGTGGTCGCCTTCACTAATCACTGCCTAATGGCTGCAGTAACACTGCCTTTACAAATGGGATCGTACGTGTGTGTGTGTGTGTGTGTGTGTGTGTGTGTGTGTGTGTGTGTGTGTGTGTGTGTGTGTGTGTGTGTTAGAAATACTGAAGTTTTAGTTCACTTAATCATTTATTGATAAATGTCTTCTATGTGCATTTTTTTCTTAAAATATTGGTATAAAACGAAACTGGCTGACAATAATCTAGACACAAAAAACAAAAACTTCTAAAGCAATTTATACTCATCAATAGCCTACATGAAGTAAACTACAAAACATTTTTCAAGAAAAACTAGGAAGAGGTCTCTGGTGCACTTTCAGTAGGCTACTTGCTGCTTTTATCTAGGTTATAGACACATTGAATGTGATGGGATTTTGGGCTCTTTGTAAGATCATACAAGATATTTAAATCAACAGTGTGTACGATTTAGTGGCATTTTTTCTAGGATCATTCTAGTGTAATACCTTATCTTGGGATTTCATGATATCATACATTTAAGAAATCGTGAAGATTGTTCTCGTTTTCTATACAATGCCCCAAATCTAAACACCTGGTACTCGCTTGTTTTACGTTGGGATATGTTTTACCCACAAAATAATCAAAGCTGTGAATCAAGTTAATCCACATTCCTGAAATGTCAAGGTGTGTCCTGTCTCTGTTGAACAGGTAGACTAAAGTGAGCCTGTAAAGTCAGCGTCATTAGTTAAGGAGATATTGTGACGTCATGTCTACGTACAATTTACACCGAACAATTCATGAAGTCATGTTGTTCAACTTTTCGACAATGTCACAATCATCGTTCTAACGTGAACACGAAGCTACAAAGCTGCCTTAGGAAAATCTCTTCCGGTTGGGACCTACAAAGTAAACTTCTCGTAAAAGAGTTTTCAATGATAAGCAATAGTGTAGGCTAATTGTTCAAAAGATCATTTTGACTAAAGAAATAGTCTATATATATAATATATATAATTTGATAAAGCATTGTCTCTTATTTCCTTTTTTTGTTATCCATATTAACTTCCCTGGGTATTAAGGTCGAGCCAATCCAAAACAGAGCGCCAGATTCGCTATTTATTGGACCCTGAGGTGTTTTTTAACTTAGTTTTTTTTTGCAACTTGTGAAATCATATTCCAAATTTCTCCTTTTATTTTCTTTCATTTTTTCTTACCCATCTTCTTTCTTACAGCTGTGAAATTAAAAAAAAAACTTAGTTAAAAAAACACCTCAAGGTCCAATAAATAGCTAATCTGGCGCTCTCTGTTTTGGATTTTTTTTCTTACGGTATCTACAGGGTTTATAGATCATTCAAATGGCTCAAAAACAAAAAAAAAAAAAACTTCGAGGCAACATGTTTTAATAATTGAATAGCCTATTTTCAAACATCTATCAAGGGGTAGTCACGTGAATATGGAGTTGTAGGCCTGTGTCCTTCCTTGTAGCCTAACTCATACATGTCTTCCCAAACAAACTTTATTTTGAAGGTTACCTCTGAACTTCTTGTACCTTTCTATCTAACTCCGGCTAACTTGTTTGTCTCCGTGTAGGCCGACACTTCCCTGTTAATCTGCCCAATCAGAGTTTACTGACAAGGTGGAAGTTGGTTGCTACGTCCTCGTACAAATCCGTGTGTCAGTGAGAGTAGTGACGAGGATTTCCATCGAAGTAACCAACAACAACTCCAGAGAAGTTTCTGTGAAGAATGTTGCGGTTGAAACAGGATGTCCTCGGGTGTTTGGAGGTGACGGGAGATACACGGTCGGTAGGGGGAAATAACTTTACATTGTAACCTTTGTGTGGTGGGCTACAGCTGTATTTCTGACTGACAACCCCGCAGCATGCCACGCAGGCAACTAACTTCTCCAAGGAAAAGAAAAGTTTTCCTTCCACCCATAAGTGGCCAGCTGTGTGACGACAGGATACTTTGACATTGTTTGAAGTTTCACGAGGATTTCACTTTTTTTTTTTTAAAGCGTGAGAATGATGAAGGTTAGGAGATACTTGAGAGGTAGTGGGAGGGTACTCGCGTTTGTGTTCATTGCCTCTATCATCTGGCTGCTGTTTGACATGGCTGCACTTCGCATATCACTAAACGACGTGAACAGTCAGCTGCTGAAGGAACAAGTGATAAAAGAGAGGCAGCTTTTCAGACAGCAGTACAGAGTGACACAGCTGATGAAAAGAGGCTTTAAACACCCAATTCAGAGGGTGGACTTGGCTTCTCCACAGGCTGGGAAAGGACCACTCAATTCAAGCATCAAACTAGCCCATGTGTACAGACCAGGGGGCAAGATACAGGACCAAATGTTAGGGGGTAAAAACCCTGACTCTTTGCAGCACAAAGGAGATGCTCCACTAAACAAGGACAACCCTAAACGTATTGCTTCTGAACAGAAAGGAAAAGTTAAACCAAAGCAGGGTGATCTTGCAAAGAAGAAAGCTGTAAATCTGGATCTAAATGGGGCAAAACTAGAAAAAAGCCAAGTCCTGGATGATTCTAATAAAGTAGTAGAGTCAAATATACACAAAGTGCCACATGGTGTTCAGGAAAATAATCATGCCCATCTAACAACCACAAAGAAGGCACCTGTAAAAGATGAAGTCGTCGTAAAAATCCCTGTAAACAAAGCTGATTCAAAGAAAAACGAAAAAGTCAAAGATGAACCCAAGATTAAGAATGGTACCGATGTGAGTCAGCATCAGACGGAGAAGTCACAGCCTGTTAAAGCAACATCTAAACCTCCAAACAAGGATCCACAAGGGAAGGAGGTCAGAATGAAAGCGGAGGATAAAGAGGCTCATAAGGCAGCGAAGGAAACTCCAAAACCTACAATCAAGGTCCGAGCAGGAAAGGATTCCAAAAAACAAATCATGGCTGTTAAAAAGTCTGGCGTCCACAAAGTGCTCTCTCTGGATGCGACTGATGTTCCCAGAAATGCTCGTGCAGTGGGCCAATTCGGCGTGGCAGTGAATGTTGCCAGTAATGAAAACTCTGAGGTGAGGAGGAGATGGGATGAAGGACATTTTAATGTTTACCTGAGTGACAAGATCCCACTGGACCGAGCGATCCCAGACACCCGACCTGAGATGTGAGTCTTCTTCTGCATATTTTCATCACTCAAACTTGCTTTGAATACGAGGCCGAAATTGTATTTGTATTGAATTTTTTTTTACCAGGTGCGCACAGAATCTCGTCCACAACGACTTGCCGTCCACCAGTGTGATTTTCTGTTTTGTGGATGAAGTGTGGTCCACGCTCCTCCGCTCTGTGCACAGTGTGCTGAACAGATCTCCACCTCACCTCCTGACTGAGATCATTCTAGTGGATGACTTCAGCACCAGAGGTAAATGTTAGAGAATGTTACCTTGAATGTTTTCCCACAGCCTGACAAACTCAGACTCAGCATTAGAGGCTAAACCATCAGAGATAAGTGTTCCCTTTGTGGATCTTCTGCGGTGACATCATGACACATAAAGGCGTGCTCACCTTGATACAGTCCTTTCTGGACATTAGGGTAAAATGTGTAGGCCAGCATGTAGCAAGAAACTTAAAGAAAGATCTGTGCAACCTGTGCTCAATTTTCTATATTTTTTAACTGCTTGATGACACAAACATGTTTGAGATTTGCCCATAAAATGTGTTTCTTTAAGATTTAAGACTTTGACAACAAGATCTGATATACTGATTGAACAAGGAAATTAATTTTTACAGTTGGTTATGATCCAACTGATCCTCCTCTGCAAACAAAATGCTTCAACATGAACTCTGTCTATATTTACCTCAAACAAATATTTGCTATTTCTCTGCTGGAGTTTGATGTTACTACTCAGGTAATACTACAGCATATTTCCATAGACCAGATGAAACAGTCCTCAGCTATTGAACTGATGAAATATTATTATATAACTGGACATATCATCACACATCATCATTATTTGATTCCTACTCTTTTAAACTCAGATTAAATGCACTTTAAGTACGTTATCTTAAAACAGTGTATTTTTGCTTATTAATCACAATTATGACTTTGTTTCAACAGAGTATCTGAAGGAGAAGCTGGATAAGTACATGTCCCAGTTCCCTAAAGTGCGAATCATTCGCCTGAAGGAGCGGCAGGGCCTGATCAGGGCCAGGCTGGCCGGAGCGGCTGCAGCCAAAGGTAAGCACTCCAAGTATTTTTTTGTCTGATTTTTTTTGTCTAAATGTCTGATTTATACTCAAATATGTGTACAAAGGTAATGGACACATGGACGAGGAGGCATGTTCCACACAAAAGATACGATTAATACAGCCACAGGTTTTACATTAACATGTCGGATCATGTGCTCAGACTTTGTAATAATCATTGTTGCAATGAAAACACAAATATGTCTGTGTGCTTACTTTTACTTTTTTAAAGCTGCTCTTGGTTTATGTGACCCCTCCTAATGAGTCATGTACACCTATTATTCAAATTGAAGCCGGTATATAAATGTGTTTGAGTTACTGAGTTGTGCAAGATTCCAACATTCCTGTAATGTGTGGATAGTCTTGTTTCACAAGCTCTTAACTCGTTGTCATATAGTATAATGCCTATTGTTACGACATGAATGGAGGCAGAGTTAAAAAACTTGTTTGTATAGCTCTATAGCTCTGTTCTTACAAAAAGCCGTGCAGAATAGAATGAGTGTGTAAAGACATTTCAAGAATAAGCATCTTATATGGATCAAATGTGCAGAAAGTCTTAGACTTACTCTCTCTTTGCAACTAGACAAGTTTTTGCAAGTTTAGGATAGGATAGGATGGGATAGTAATTTTTGATCCCCAGAGGGGAAATTCGGGCGTTATTATAACTGAATTGTGCAAACAAGTGAAAAAACAAGTCATTGTCTCATTAACACAGGACTGAAAAGTGAGTGCAACAATATAGAACAATGAATGTTAGCTACATGAACAAACAACTGCTCCCTATAAGAGTTGAATTGATGCCATGCAGATGTGTCTTATTTGTTTAACTGCAGCAGGATGTTTGCTTTCCTCTAACTCAGGTGAGGTCCTAACCTTCCTCGACTCCCACGTCGAATGTAACGTGGGCTGGCTGGAGCCGCTGCTGGAGAGAGTGTATCTGGATCGCAGGAAGGTGCCCTGTCCAGTTATTGAAGTCATCAGTGATAAGGACATGAGGTGACAAATGCACGGCTATATGTGAACACATCATGTTGTTGTGATCGTGTCTCATACTGTATTCATGCTCTTTCTCCTCAGTTATATGCTGGTTGACAACTTCCAAAGAGGTATCTTCAGATGGCCTCTGGTGTTCGGCTGGAGCGCCTTACCAGAGGAGTACATCAAGAAGAATAACATGACTATTGCAGATCCCATCAGGTGACTATATATATATATTTACATATATATACAATTACAGTATATATATATGTAAATACTGTAATTGACATCTTAATTGACCCATCTGTCACATAACTGCATTTTTCTTATCATGTTACTTCAGCATCTTTTGCACTATTCACCACTGCACTGTTTCATATTAGTCTTTTCTTATTATGTTTATTGTTGATATTTAATGTTGTACCTGTTCATAAGAGAGCACAGTTCACCAAAGTTAAATTCCTTGTGTGTGTAAGCATACCTGGACAATAAATCAGATTCTGATTCTGATGATATATATATTTATAATCCTTTTTTTTTTTTCCTGCATTTTAATTAATTTTCATGTGATGTTACAGATGTCCAGTTATGGCTGGAGGGCTTTTCTCCATAGACAAAAAGTACTTCTATGAGCTGGGTGCTTATGATCCTGGCCTGGATGTGTGGGGAGGGGAGAACATGGAGATCTCATTTAAGGTATGTCACTTATATAATTCATAGATAATAACCACACATGCTATTGATGTTAAGGAAACTTTCATCATGTTACTCTTCATCGTACGTGTCTCTTTATACATAGATCTGGATGTGCGGAGGGGAAATCGAAATCATCCCCTGCTCTCGAGTGGGACACATCTTCCGTGGAAAGAATCCCTACAAATTCCCCAAAAACAGGCAGAAGACTGTGGAGCGTAACTTGGCCAGGGTGGCGGAGGTCTGGCTGGATGAGTACAAGGACCTTTTCTACGGACACGGTTACAACCACCTGCTGGATAAAAAGGTGGTCGACATCGGAAATCTCACCGAGCAGATTGAACTGAGGAAGAGGCTCAATTGCAAGAGCTTCAAGTGGTACCTGGATAATGTGTATCCAGATATGGACGCTCCCTTAGCGAAAGCTGAGGGCCTGGTATGTAGAGAGATACATTTTTCTTTACATTTCATTAAAAATAAATCTTATTTAAAATGAAAGTTTTGTGATGTTTTTTCGCCATGAAGCTTGTGTTGTTTCTGAACCTCTTAACAAACCCAAACAGAGGCTGCGATTGTGCTCCTCAAGAACAAACGATATTTGTTCATTGAAGCCTCTGAAAGCTATTTGTAAACATTCGTTAAGGAAAATAAGAACAGCAACAAAGCCCTTTTTCAATGCAGCTTTAAATGAGCAGTCTTGTTTGTAGAGCTGATTCACCTCTGTAAAATCTTGATCATCTTTTTTTTCCTCTGTCTGTAGGTCTTGAATCGGGGTTTAAGAAAATGCCTCTCTCTACAGGGTGGCTCTCTGTTGTTTGACACATGTGATCTAAGCAAGCAGGTAGGTGTCTGATTGATTTAACAGATCATTTAGCAGAATTAAAAAAAAGCACATTTCTTACATTTCTCTTAGCACATCCTGAGGGATTTTGGCCTTGTGACTGTTGTAATTATGGGTAGGCCATAACAAAAATATCCAGGAATAGACCTAGATCAGCATAACTGCAATCACGACCCAGGGCAGGATAAACACGGGTGGAGTCAAAGACGAGACTAAAAGTTTCTAAATTTTAGTCTTTTTGGTTTCAGAGCAGCTTCACTGAGCCATCTATCCAAATCTTTCAGTTTTCATTGAGCATAATTACATCCTCCTCACTCTTCTCTTCTCTCTGGTCTTCAGAGTCAGCACTTTAACTACACCTGGACGAAGCAAATCCGCCACCAGGATCAATGCATAGCAGCCCAGTTCAATGACAACGGCTCTGTTTTACAACCCTGTGACGACAACAAGCCTGAACTCCGCTGGTTTCACAAATCCTCCAAGTCGGCTCTGGTAGGTTGACCTTTGGTTTGTTGTTTTTCTCTGTGTGCCTTATTGGTTGTTCTTGTCTTTGTAAACTGTCATTTTAGTGTTCTTAGTCTCCATAAGACATATTTAATAACATTTTCAAATTGACTAGAAGAATAATGATAGTCAAGTACATCCAGTTTAGAACAGATGTAGTAGATTTTGGGAGTGTTTTCAAAGCTTTGTTGTCTGATTGTGTTTCCTGTTGTGTGTGTGTGTGTGTGTGTGTGTGTGTGTGTGTGTGTGTGTGTGTGTGTGTGTGTGTGTGTGTGTGTGTGTGTGTGTGTGTGTGTGTGTGTGTGTGTGTGTGTGTGTGTGTGTGTGTGTGTGTGTGTGTGTGTGTGTGTGTGTGTGTGTGTGTGTGTGTGTGTGTGTGTGTGTGTGTGTGTGTGTGTGTGTGTGTGTGTGTGTGTGTGTGTGTGTGTGTGTGTGTGTGTGTGTGTGTGTGTGTGTGTGTGTGTGTGTGTGTGTGTGTGTGTGTGTGTGTGTGTGTAGGGGGAGCACCTCATAGCAGAGTTCATTTCCCACCACATGTGCCTGGAGGCCAATCCAAAGGGAGACACTTTCCAACTCAACTCGTGTGAAACCAGCAACCTCTTCCAGAAGTGGCAGTTCACACACTACAATACTAATTGATAAGACTGAGAGTGAACTCAAAGTGGTGAAACTCAGACACTACAAGAACACACACCACTGTCCGGAGGAGGCGGGGGAAACACATACACTTAGTGTGAAGCGGAGGGAGTGGCGCTGTGCAATGTTTCCAATGTCCTTTTTATCATATCAACATGGACTGACTTTAAACTTTGAACTCTCGTGCCTAAGAGAAAGCGAGCATCTTTTCTGCTTTTGCTGGAGATAGTTCATTTTCAAGAAGATGCTCTATGCTGGTGTGAGGGGAACAAACCAAACGACTACAAGTTAACGTCAAAGAGAAGACGTTTGTCAGCACAATGAATCATTTCTCTGCCAAAGATAGAGAGTGCCTTTTTGTTTTTGTTTTGTTCTGGGACTACATAATGAGTGCATGTGATGTCAAACTGATTTATTTGTAAAAAAAAAAAGTGATACACACCTTTCTTTTTTTTTTCAGTGAGACAGTTTTATTTTCTGGATGTCTATTTTTGTTGGATGGTGAACAGTTACTTCTCTGCTTTTATAAATTGGTCTTATTAAGGTGAAGGTTTTTTGCTCTGGAAACTGTCCTGTTGTATGAAATCCTTCTTGTCACTAGAGGGAAGTGTTGGTTCAAAAAACACTCCATAAACCTGTGCTGTGATTTGATGATTTTCTAACTCTTATCAAACTCTTCAACCACACATAGACAAATCTTCATTTTCTAATGAAACTCCAAATAAAACGATGACAACAAAGATTTAATAGCATGTGTCTTTTTCTTTTTTTATTTCATTCATATACAGAAACCATTAACACGTATAAGTAGTTAATCACTTGAAAATACCTCCGCTTAAGGATTCACTGCTCGGTGCCTCACTCAAGAGTTTAACATACTGAAGCTCTAATACCTTATGGAAGCTTAGTTATTATAGGCAGTAGGATTATAAAGCTCCGGGCTTCTTATTTCTTTAATCTGCTGCTCAAATAACCTGGCTTACATCAGATGGGTTCATCCTAAAAGCATCAAATGAAAAATATTAAATATGGCTGTATGACATTGTTCTCCAATCACATATTACAATGCAAACAGCTTCAGAATATTTTAGTAGTTGAAATTGATCGCGTCCTGAAAATCTTACAAATTCATCATCATGTACTCAAACTCCTCGATCTTTTTGCGTGTGTTGCCCTTGCTGATCCTGCGGTAAGACACCGTGCTGTATTTGGAAGAAGTGAGATGGTCGAAGGATTTCTGTTGAGCGGATTTCTTTGGGTGCGGCAGGGAGGCGTGGCCCGGGTTGGGGTTTTGATGAAACCCCGCAGGAACATGGAAGTTAAGGTCCTTTTCTGGCCTCTGGTCTGTCTGAATCTGCTGCGCATCGCTCAACAGCGGGACTTCGGCTCTACACATCTGCTCTGGGACTTTTGTCTCCCCATTCAGCTTTTTATTAGTCTCATTAGTGACATCAAAAGGTTCAAGGTTTGCCATCTGTGCCTTTAGAACAACTTCCTTCTCAACTTGGAGATTTTCTAGGAGAGAGAAAGAAGAAGGAGATACATTTTGCATTCTGTTAACAAAACATCCCCTCAATCTCTTTTATACTAAAAAAGTAAATTCTTCTCACCTTTTTCTGCTGATGTATTAACCCCAGGCTGTGTTTGCATGTCTGCAATTGTGCAGTTTGGTTGCTGGGAGTCTTCACATGAGCTCTCAAACTTCTCTGAGTTTCCATCAGACTGGAGCTCTTTGTCTCTGTCCCCTGTCAGACTGACCTGTGGACTAATTTCCTTCTCCATCTCCTCTCTGCTGACAGTGGATTCTTCAGCTGGACCCTCCTCCCTCTGTGCGTTAAGTTCATCAGCTGCCACACTGTTGACAACTTTTTTTGACTCGCTTGAAATTCCACCAGATGTTTTTGCTTGAACGTCCTCATGAGGTTGTTCTTCGTCACTGTAGAACACAGAGTCATCCCCCTCCTCCATCGACCACATGTCTCTTTCTTCAGTTTCCTCAAGTTTCTGCAGAGGAGTCCCACCTAAGATCTCCAGCACCTGGGATGCAAGTACATCATCCTCTACTGGGAGCCTCGGAGGCTTTGGAGGAATTTTGCTCGCATCAATCTCCATCCTTTTAGATTAACCTTTTCCTGTGATAATAACGTTGTCACATCCAATTTGCTGATTATCTGATCAATCAAAATTTAAGCAACCTCATACTTTGCCTTTGTCTGTTCCAGTGTTCCAAAATACTTCTTTTTCTGTATCCAGCGTTGTCATAGATTGAAGAAAGAACCCATCCTGCATTCAGTCTGCTCTGCAAGTTGAAGCTCTCTAGCCTGCTCTCTAGCGCTTGTGCCATGTAAGTCTGAGTACGTGTCAAAAGACAGAAGAACAGGGGTTGTGTTGTGCTCCTAACAGAGACTCTTTGTCTCTGGCATCTGAATATATAGAGATTGTACTCTTAAATAATCTCTGCTGGGTGACCACCTTCATTCTGTAAGATTTAGAGTCTGGATTAACATTCCCCTATAGGTCACTCTGCACCTCCTGCACAGACTCTTTCACATGTGCTGAAAGCTTAGCCATATTATGTCTTATGTTATAAGTGGATAAAAAGAACTTAACATCTTAAGTAAGGCACCTGAAATACTGATATAACTACAATATGTTCAACACAAACCATTAGCACAGCGGTTCTTTGCATGCATTCTGTGAAATTTAGGTACATTTACTTTGAACAGTTTTGGGGTAATTTGAATGTTATGAATATTTATTCTGTTGCACAACATTTCACAATGTTCTTCCCTTCAGTTTCCTCAAAGCCGAAGATACTATTTTATTTAAACTAAGGTTTAATGTTGAATACATGGGATAAGCCTTCAATATCAAACCTTTGGATCAAAGCCTTTTTGGACAGTTTTGGCACTTTTTCACGAGTTTTAAAGAGTCAGCCAAAAGAAATTTCTCGTCTCAACTTCTTACATGGTTTGAGTTTAATGAAAATCCACTTAAACTCCTCAGTATTTAACAAAAAAATGCATTTAATTAGAAAAAAGAATTAAACAAAAAAAAAAAACATTTTCACCAAACAGCAGCACCATAGTGATGTCATCAATTCCGATTTTTTTGATTTGTCATTTGTCAGCTGCCATGTTTGTTTTTCGACACCAGTAATGACCATTTTTTTGGATGAGAGTCTGGGGCTGAAGAGGAGATAACAAATAAGCTAAAAGAGCCAGTGGAACCTAGCAAAATGACATGTTGGCAAGCCACATGTTCAACATAATATACAGTAAGAAGCCATCCACATTGACATGGCTGGGATGTCAAGCTCATTCACAGATTAAGTTGAGGATGATATCTTGAATGGAGAAATTAGTTACTAGAGACCCAAACAGTATTTTGCACCTGACTGTAAAAATGTATAATTCAACTGTAAAGTTGGTCATTTTAACCGGGTGTGTCATTGGGATTGACTCGCTCCTTTATGGCTTGCCTCAATTGGACACTTGAGGAACTGCACTTTTTGGTTCGTCATTGTTGGCTTTATTTTTCACACCTGAGATTGCTGCTTGGTCAGCTTTGGACCCTCGGGTGAGGTCTGACTCTTTTGTTTGGAACCATTAGACAAACCAACCTAATTCAGGAAAACTCCACCACAAACACTACACTAATAATATGCAGCTTTGAAGTGCCTGTCACTGATACTACAACTAATATTAGTACAAGGTTTTTGGAAAAACTGGTAGAGCACATGGTTGATATTTGGTCAGTTATTGATGTGAATCTCTTTCCACAACTGCCTTTCAACACAACTCTGTTTTCATAACTGATGTTTTATGAACCCATTGAACCATTTCATCTCCTTCCTGATAGCAGACTTTAAAAAATAACTAGTTACCTTTTTTTAAACTCATCTCATTCTTGGTTTTTATGGTTAAAATGACACGAGCATCATAATTCTTGTGAATATTAAGCATCAAGTACAACAGGGTTTAATTTACTGTAATGTGAGCTCTCTTTCTCCTTCTTTAGCAGAAACAGCCGGAAACCGAAGAAGTGAGACTTATTACAGGAAACATGTAGGCTTTCAATTCTCACGTTTTAGATTGTCAACTGTTATGCATTACCCAACATATTATTTGCCTCTTTTTATGGATGAATTATGTCTAATACCTGCATCATCAACCCAAATCTTAAGCTTAAAGCTCACCCTATCTGGTTGAATCTGCAACTTGAAATTGAGTGTACATCACTGATTCATCCTGTGAAGGAACAAATAGAAAATAATATGCTGTTTTTCATTTGCCATTTCAAATCAGGGCATTTTAATTCTGCACAAAAAGTGTCCCTTAGATTTTTTATTAACTACAATGCCCCTCCAGCAGCCAGTGTCTGCAGCCTCTCTCACTCTCAGTTTCTCAATGGGTTAAGCCTCAGTGTGTGCCTGAGTCCTGTGTGCCATCAACTAAAAAAAGACAGTTGCAGTTTGTTTGTGATGTCTACAAACACCCTGCAGCACTTCTATGTCTTCAGTTTGCATTTCTATGTGGTTACTGAAGGAAAGCACGTGTGGGTTAAAAGACTTCATGAGTTTATTATGCTTTTTAAAACGTTTTCACATTTAAACAAAATTACATTCTCTACACAAAGTTGCATTTCTTTAAATTAAGAATTTTTCAATGTTTCTGAGTGAACACAGTAAATAAGTGCTACACATCGTGAGAGTAATTTTGGAAATGAAAACAGTTCAGTAGTACCTCTCGTACCCACATCCTGTTATGAGCTGAAGCCTTCTAAACTGAGAGACGGTTTGGTTTTGGTTCTGCCTTCTACGTGACAGAAAAGCTTCTTTTCTTTTTTTTACTATTTATACAACTTCGTAACTGAAAATGTATTTTTTATTTTAGGGTCATAATAATCTCATTTTACATTTCAAAGTGCTACATGAATACAGCTACAGTACATCCGTCCACCCTGAATTCATTAATGCTGATCACAGTCATTCAGTTTCATATCCAAGCTTGCGACATACATAACCTCATCAATCATACCTAACCTATCTTTGCCCACAGGCTACATTCAGTCAAATGCTTGTTGAAAAGATAATAATTTTACATATTTATAATGATTTTAACCTGCAGAAAGCCAAAGCCCTCCAGTGAGCCAGGTTCACCTTAAAGGAACGGGGTCCTCTTTGATAAGGGTGCAACAATGTCCAATAATACAAACACTTCTTTTCTAAGGCTTGAAACGGCTCAGCAGAGTTAAAACATGTAAGTGTGGTGAAGCACTTCATGAGGAGTGTCTTTTTCTTTCTTCAACTTGTTTGAAGCATGAGAAACCTTGTCAGTCCAGAGTACTAGGTAGAAAACAGAGCATATGAGCAACATGTCACTATACAGTATTTGGCTCATCCTCTTCAACTGATCGCTGGAGTCCAGGGATCAACTTAAAGATGTGTTTGCGTACACTTGCTTTCCTGCCTTTGCGGGGAAGGGTACCAAACAAGGAGGATATCCTTGTTTCCTCCCAGGAGGGAGAGAGCGAGCTGCTGCTGGACGCCAAGCTGGAGCTGCCGGAGCGACAGAGGGTTTGATGATAGTGATGGTGGCTGCTGGAGTTGGACAACGACCTGCTGGAGCTGCCCAGTGTGGGGAAATCTCTGGAGAAGAAGCAGCCATCGTTTGTGGTGCTTGCTGCACTGCAGGGGCTGGGAGAGCTCAGGTCCCCAAACACACTGTCATCTGTCATCACACTCCTGAAGCTGCTGTCACTGGAAAAGCGGCGGCCAAAGCGGCCTGTGGGGGAGCTCAGAATGGCCGAACAGTCCACTGAGAGCTGGAGGCTGCTGCTGTTCATGTTACCTGGAAACAAAACAAAAAGAATTTGCATATCAAGATTGAGGCAGGAAGTTCGTCAGCAGCTCCTGTGTTCAATTGTCTGGGGAACTCCTTTATGGTATTAGTCTGAAGTGTACGCTTCATGTCACATCACAAACAGTGTTGCTTTAGAAACAGGACAATGGTTATGAGAAAGGAAGGGCTGTGGTTTGACAGCTGAGCACGCTCTCTCACCTCGCATGAGGCGTTTTTCCTGTAACGCGAGCGCTTGCAGCTCCACCAATTTCTCACGTAGCGATTGCTGTATGGGCAAAAAACATTTGGGGTTTTACTTCCAGTGAAACTAGTCTCACATTTTAATATTTCAGTGTCGTCTGTGTGACGGTCCTCTTGTATCTATTTTAAATGTAAACGTTGCTCTGTAATCCTTACCTGCTGGGTTTGTGTGTTTTATGTAGTTTTAACATGCAAACAACAAACAAGGGCAAGGTTTAAAGAGACGCACCTTAAGCAGGTTCTTCTTCTTCTCCAGCTCAATCTGCTTCACTACAGTCCCACTTACAGTCTCCACCCTGAATCAGATAACAACACATCATTTCAAACACAGCCATCAGAAAAACCGGACAGTGCCTCCCTCCACTGATCTCTTTTGTATGTTTTCATTTTTACAACTGAGCTTCCATGAGATGGGCCGACAAAGAATAATAACTTAAAAGGGTATGGAGAAGATATAAAGCTAAAATAAAAAATAAATCAATTTACAAATAACCATGAAAAGCTTTAAGTGTTTAAGTGCTTTAAGCAGCTGATTGACTTTAAGTGTATTTGTGTAACCAACAGATGTCTGCTTTTTGCACTGCTTTAGTTTGTTGATGGCAAAAAGTACAGAGGCCCTATGCAGACATGCATCCATACATTCTATTTTCTCAATTTCCCCATGATACCAAATCATTTCCAGTAGTTTTCTTAACATCGTAAATTATGTTTCTGTTATTTCTGGGATAATAAAGCTGGTTTACCCATGATCATGATTACATTTTCTCGTTATCTTGAAATAACAACTCTTGTTTTCTCATAGAAGCGGTTTCATTTCCTAGCAATCTAGCCCACACTAATGAGGTTAGTTGAACCTATTTTTTTTTTTTTTTTTTTTTTTTTTTATGGTTTTGCAACTCTGGGTATACAAGATTAAGTAGTTGATATCTATAGACAACAACTGGAAATTGTCACAAAGGGAAAACTGAAAAAATAAAATGCATTGTCCCCTCAGGGCTCCTGTAAAAATGCAGACAAAAATTGCATTTTAACTTGTAAAACTTGTACCTTGTTTTATAATTGTAAAATGTAGAATAGTCTAAGGTTAGCGTTAGGAAAGGAACTGTACAATTTAGTTTTATTTCTATGCATAATATGTCCTCTGCTATATGTTTACATCCCACCATGACAGTGTGTGCAGTGTTGTTACTTTGTGTCACTTACTTTAGACTGTTTGTTGATTCTTTTATCAGGTGGAGTACACGATCATGAGACAATCCTTCAATGCTGACCCCATTGATAGTGATGATAACATCGCCTTTAATAAATGAGGATGCAAAAAGAGGAAACTCATCAATTACAAGAAGTCAAGCTGGCCTTCTATTGTGTGTGTGCAACAGTGCAGGTATGTGTAGGTGGATCACAGCTTTAACACTTGTCAGAAATATAACTGTCACCTCTGTACATCAGAAAAGTACAAAAAGGTCAGGCTCTATGCACATGTATGAAAGCGTCCGTGTAGAGGATATGGGCGGTTCACCTGCGGTCAGACCAGCACTCTCAGCAGCGCTGTCCTCCTGCACCTTACGCACGAATGTGCACATCTCCACTGCAGAGCTGTCCCTCAGCTGCAGCCCATAAGTCTGCAAGGAAAAGAAGACTTTGTCACAAAAGCCAAAACAAAAGAAATACTTCTGAAACCAATAACTCCAGAGGCAGAGATTAAAAAGCATGGCAGCAAAAGACGTGTACTTCAATTACATGAATATAAAATGTAAAAAAAAAAAACTCACCTGAATTTCAAAACCAAATGTTTCATTGTCTTGCTTCTCCAGAACAATTATGGTCCTGTGCAAAAAAAAAAGTTTATATGCAATAAGACTATATTGCATATCATTGGCCAATATGATTAGCTGCCCTATATAGTTTGATATATTTACCTTTGTGGGTCAGAATAATCAACCAGTGATGTGGAGTAGGATTGTTTGGGCTGCAAAAAGAGAAATGCAGAGTTCTTCTTTAAAACCATAAAAATGATTTAAGGTTTAAACTTGACAGGACACTTTATGTAAACATGTTGATCCCACAGTGTTACATATGTGAGTCACATAATTTAAGATTAAAATAGTTGTAAAGCTTTTGGCCTGCCTGATATATCAGTGTCACACAGTTAAAGGCACAGCTGAACTTTGAAAATTAAAACCTCAGTTGTAATCTTTTTATGCAAGTGATCTAACTTGCAGAACAAAAATGGATTTCATAAATATTTAACACCTGATTTTCTTGTCTCACCTTGCGCACTCTGGGCAGAGAGCCTGTGTTCTGCCGGGGGCGCTCACCGCTTCCCCTCAGTGAGCGCCGGTACCACAGGGAACTCTTCTTCCTATTATCCACATTGTCATTGTCTTGGCTGGCCTGGCGCTGAAGTCCATTGAAATTCATGATGGTTTGTATGGAAGAGTAGTCCTCAAAGCACCATCATTGTCCTGCTGCAGCAACTCTTTAATGACTGTGAGCCCTGCTGTGCTGCAAAACTGTGTCAAAGCGGAAACTCAAATCATGTGACTCTGTGGTAGACCTGTGCAGATCACAGCCTCACGTACCCACTTTCCGGTTCAACTCTTTTAACTCTGTGACCCTCTTTTCTTGAGAAGGGGTTTGTCTGCTTCTGAAAGCAAAACAAGAAGGATGTTCGAGCTTTTTTTCCCCCTTTTTGTATCCCCTTCAAAAAGTCCCTTTCCTTTTCTGCAGTCTGAGCGATTCGATTTCTGGTCTGTCAGAAATCAGCAATGCATGAGGAACTGCCACCTCGCGCCTCCAGCAGCACCTGCCTCCAGCCTCTCTCACTCTCAGTTTCTCAATGGGTTAAGCCTCAGTCTGAACCTGAGTCCTGTGTGCTGTCAAGCAGGGAGACTTGTGGGCCATGACAAAAAGGGCTGATTTAGCTCTGGGCCAGTGTCACGCTCCCCAAACACACAAGCATGGGTCATTGGGCCGCAGGCATCAGACGAGCTCGGATCAAAAGGCAAATCAAACACACAGGCCGGCAGTCACGGAGACAATGGCTGATGGGTTAAAGAAAACTGAACCACAGAGCACAAACCCTGGTCCCACTACCACACCCAGGCCCTCAAAAGGTGAACTGTTTGATCTGCAGGACAAGAAGATCAGCTTTCAAGGGGAGCATAAAATCTAAGAATTTTTTTTGTTTTTTTGTTTTTTTGTTTTTTAGCTCAGTACTGTAATCAAATGCACCCAAATGAATTACTCTTGAACTTCCAGATTGCCTCACAGTAATCCCCTCTGCCCCGCTGACCCTCAGCAGAGCGGTTGGCAAAGAGACCACGGGACTGTCTGGAACACAGATGTCCCGTTTCACAAGGACATTGCATATTTTTATCCACATTTCCATTTTTTTTTGTTATTCATACTTATTTTATTATTCAAGTCGCTATAGCCAATATTAGCCACATTTCTTCTCTTCCTATTGGTATTGTTGTGTCTCAGTCTGCTCCTAATATGTTGAGTGTCTTCAGATAACTTGTTACGACTCTGAATTTTATGAATAAAAATGGATTGACTTGATTCACAGGAAAGCCTACTAATTGTTCTAAAGCTTGGCTCAACAGATTCAACTAAGATCCAGGTCAAAAAGCACAACAAAGTTTAATACCATTGGTGCAGTGTCGTCAATTGTTTCCTCAATATGTCAGCTGTACTGAAAAACATTGCATTACATTATTGCTTACGTTCTAAGATGCTATAACCTTTTCTTAGATAGGCCAAACTTAAGATTCTTGTTGATTTCAGGAGACTGGATTCTTTGCTTGGTGTTATCACTTTTCGAAAGTTACATAAACCTCTTGTAAGCACTTCTGTGTGATTCAAACAGCACTTCTAAAAACCGCCAAAGCAAGTTAGCAGCACACAGTTGAAGGTTTGACTCATACACAAAGTGCTGATGGCCTCAGTGTAACAGCTGTATTTCCTCTGTATAACGGACAAAATCTGCATCATCAAAAGTGCTCGCAAATAGAGCAGTTGAACAGAAGGCGGAGATGAGTCATGTCATGCCAGGTGAAAGTGTGATGTGGAGGATAAAAAAGGTCTGTCTTAGATAAGTCGTTCGGGAAATCAAGTCCAGAGCTTTCAGTTTCCGTGTAAGAGATTTCATACCGAAAGAAAAAACACATCATCTTCAAAGACAATCTGTGAAAAAGATAATTTATTGACCCACTGATATCACTTATACAGAATAAATAGTGCAAGAGAACAGATACAATGCAATAGGTTGAAATCCAAGCGACAACAGCTTCATATAATCAAAAATATGTCTTATTTCATGAAAGCAGTATCACACTTATCTTTTATATATATTGATCTCATAATGTACAATATGTAGAAAAAAGACACCCGTCAGAAATTGCACATGGTGATCACCCCTCTTTGGAAAGGTTGACACATCTTTAATATACTCAAGCTATCTTTTCCCCTTTTCTCTCACGCTTTTTAGAAGCAGATATGACACCATACAGACAAAAAGCTTTTAGACAAAAAGTAATACAAAAAAATAAAATCATATGGAAGTAGTTCCAATTGTCACAGGCAGAGCAACATGTGTCTTTAGTGTTTCCTATCTGGTGTTCTGCAACACACAAAGTCGTTATCATGGACAGAGTAATCTCATCATTAAAGAAACAAATGAAGACCTGCACATGTACAGATATAGGACGATAGAGCCACAGGCTACATAGCTGATGCTACATATAGTATAGTTATTATGAGCATGATGGATGGGATACATGGGAAGTTTTCACCAGTACAACTTGTTTCACAAACAGTGCATTGATTAATTACATTTCTTATGTACTTCATTTTTCATTTCACATATTCTTAAAGACACAGACACACATTCACACAGATTCATCTGAACACATGTGGTTGCAGAAAGGCCCCTCATGGTGTGCAGATGTCCCTGTCTGCACGTCTCCTATAAGCCTGTTATGAAGAGGTCTTGAAGGCCTCATCAGACAGCAGCATTCGAGTGTGTGAACCCATGACCATGCTTTTCTTGTATTTCAACATCAGCCATGACGTTGAAGTATTTTTTCCTATGAAAGTCTCTTCATGGCTAGATTGAGACCTTTTTATCAGGTACGTGCTTATGTTGCTTTTATCATAATGATATAATACATAGAGAACCTGCTGTAAAAAGTGTCTTCTAACGTGTGCTGTCTGGAGTTCTGTTAAAATAATCCAACCGAGCCAAAGTTAGCAACACTGATATTGAATTCTTCCTACATTATGATTTGAGCATTCGAGTAGCTCAGCTTTCATAATGTGAACATTGTTCCAGTGTGTATTCATATATTCTATCAATAAAAAAATACATATTTTTTTCACACTCTTAAAGGAGTTTCTGTGTGTAAAAACAAATGTGCATTCACCTGCCAGGGAGCAGCTCTTGTCTCTACAACAAGACAACACAGATTAAGTCTTCAGACACTTTACTGATCTCATGAGGCGGTTAAAGGAGAGACATTTTTTTTGTAAATCTTAACACTAGAATGTCTTGATCTTAAAAATGTGGCCTGCAGGTGACACCAGAGGCTGGATCCCGTTTTTGATTGAATCAAAAACAGCTCAGTGGGATAATTCTGCACAGTCCAAGAACAGGTTTAATAGTTTAAGCTTTAATAGTCCAATCATTTATATTGAATGATTGTGTGATCTTTTCAATGATGGTTGAGGTATTTGGACCAAAAAAAAAAAACACAGACTAATTTCAATCTAGGCAATGGTTAGTCAACAATAACACTTAAAACTTGTTAAAAAAAAAACACTTAACTTTATTTAACTTAATGATAACGTCAAGATAGCTAAGCACTGCTGTTTCCTCATTGCTGCAAACAGACTTTTCTGACAAACCATTTACCTACAACTGAACTATAATAACCATGCAGAAGTACTTTAAAAGTCAGATTATTATGTGCAGTCTGCGTATGCTTCATTTTAAAGAAGTTGTAACCAGTAAAACTGCCCTACCAGAATCGTATCTGATAGTAAACGAGCGTACTACCTAACAAGCAATAATGTGTCTGCTACATGATATGGCACAAAAACATCACAATGTGCAACTTTAAGCTTTGGGCACTGAAATCTCTGAGGTAGTAAAAAAAAATCTGTACATACATTACACACATTCTTATCTCATATGGCTCTTTCTACCAAAAGTGTATCTTTTTGGTTCGCATTGTTTTAACGGTGTCTGTGTGCATAGTCGCCTCAGACACCCCCTTTAATACTTTGGCACCAAACACCAACCTGACTCTTCTCTCTGAGGGTGAACAGTGCGGTTGTGTCCAGAAGAGGGCAGTCTCAGGCAGTTACAGAGGAAAACTTTCTCCCTGTTTGTTTCCAACATCTCTCTGTCCATAATGTTGCATCGATGCCAGCACCAGTGCTGATCTGCTGGGCGACAAATCAAGCTAATCTTTGACATCCTTGAAGACAGAAATCTGAGACACGGTTTTCTTGACCCGCAAAGCAGTGAGTCGAGCAGAAGGGTTGGCGTACCAGCACTCTCTCATCAGTTTGCCCATCACACGCAGAGCCTGGTGAATAAACAAGGAGACAGTTTGATGAATATAAACCTACATTTTAGTGAACATCAATAAGAGCTCATTTAAATGTAGATTGAATCTCCCATTGGTAATTCTTAAAGGACTGATTTAACATCATGAAGTATCTCAGCTACTGTTTGTAAAGGCATTTTCTTAAGCAATAGTAAACCAGAGGGGGTGTTGTTGTTTTGAATAACAGCACTGCTGTGACCGGGTTGTGGGCACAAGTGCAAAGAGAATTGGAGCAGGAACGTGGCTGAATGGGTGGCCTGGGCTGCCCTTGAAATCGGACTGACCATATCAAGTTTCCACCAAAAAACCTAAACTAAGATTGGCTATTAGTCAAAAGCGGGATTAATGTTAAGAAATCAACTATTTGGACGTTTAACACGCTGCTTTCTTTGTATTTCAATTAGTCCTCGAAGAAATAAGCCTAACAGATTTAAATTTCAACACTCTGTTGTGCTATGCTTTAGAGGTACAAAATCACACAGGAGCATCAAATGTTGGAGAAACATTAACGTTAGTATTTAAAGTAGAAACAATAAGTAGAAATGGTAAATCAATGCTGTTGATTCCTGTTTGCACATACATACTTAAAAGGGAAATGAATGTTCACAATCTTGATGATATGTATCTTCCTTACATGCACTCTGTGAGTAGTTACATACACTGTAAGATTTTTTCTCAAAGGTGCAATGCTCCTACATTGCACCTTTTGTACATTTTGTGTTTTTTTTTTTATTTATCATATTTTACATTTTTAAATTCTATTTTATATATTGTAATATCTTCTTATCCTGTATTATTTAAGTTGTTGCTAGTTCTGCTTTATTTCCTTGTTAATTGTTTAGCACCAACACACCAAGTCAAATTCCTTGTATGTGTAAAATGTACTTGGCAATAAACCCTGATTCTGATTCTGATATTCTATGTATTCAACTTGGCCCCTTTATTTGACCATTATGTTATGTCTCCTCCAACGGGGCATGACAGAAACATTTGAGGACCTCTGAGATAAAGTAAACTAAGCATGTACATGTAGTGCATTCATGGTAAGGTTACCAATCACAAGAGATTTCTGAAGCTGACTCCTTCTTGTTTTAGTTGAGAAGTTGTCTCTGTTCATCCTAGTTCATACTAATATAACATTAGCAATGTTAAAAAACATGAAACAACAACCTGCAGTAAGGTTACTCCATGGTGATTGTTTCTTTGGTTTTTGCAGTCAGTACACTTTTATCCAGAGAGTAAAACACTGAACAGCTTATCTCCTATAAACTCTTCAAACTCTAGTGAAAGAGCTTCAATGTTACAGGTTTCTTATTCAGACAGTCAATTAGAAAACTGTGCTGTGAACAAGCAGATGTATCCTTTAAATATAGAGCATGTTGTATTGTTTTTGTAGATCTTTATACAAACACACACAGTGTGTGAGTGATATCAGTGAGACCTATCTCACAGGATGAAACATGAGATGGATGTTTCTGTCTCACCTCACAGCTCTGCCACTGGTTGGGGATGTTGGGTCTGAGTTTCTGCTCACACACAACCTTCCTCATGTCCTCGATGGTCGGATCAGAAGGCACCAGGTCATAATAAGGCAGCTGGAAATCTTCTTGAAGTCCTAAAGAAGTAACGAAAAGGAGATTTGCTCAAGCATTTCGTCATACAAGTAATGCAAGGATATGACAAATATAAAGGTATATACCATGCATGCTATCAGTGGCTAGTTTGGCTGATTACTTGGCAATTGCATTTTGCTATAAATATATAAAACAAGTGGGGTGCATGTGTGTGTTTTGTGTTTAAGTTACCCCTGACAGAGCATCTTCGGGCTAGTTCCCAGAACACCAGGCCAAGTGCGTATATATCCACCCTCTTGAATGACTCAAAGCTGCTCATATTGATCGTCTCATCCAGGATCTCTGGAGCCATGTACCTGCAAAGGACAAAATGATTAAGTCTTACTCACATCTAAAAGCACGCAACTTCTTAGGATATTTAATCAACAGATTTGTTTTTGAGTTAGTTTTGTTTTTGCAACTTCTTAGGATATTTAATCAACAGATTTGTTTTTGAGTTAGTTTTGTTTTTGAGACAGTGAATTAAAGCAGCTAGAGTAATAATAATCTCAAAAACAACCACTCTGACAGTAAGGACATTCACATGTTGTTTTTCTGGGACATGTAAGAACCAATACAATAGCTGATGGCTCACACTGGTGATTTATGGATTTACTTTTGCAAAGAAATCAATCTAAAGGGAAATGTTACGATGTCCGATTTTACCACAAGGGGTCGCCAAAGTCCAAATATTATACAGGGTTCAAGTTTGCTGCCTGTGTTCATAAGCCATTCAATAAGCAAAAAATGTAAGTTTAAGTTTTTAAATAGCTGGTTGTATCTTCCATGCATCAATACTAATTTATTTCTGATGCAGAATAACTTCAATATTTCTTAACTTTTGTCCAGACGAGACAAACCTCCAACAACAGTCCTGATTCTTTAATGCTTTATACACATGCAGCATTAATTTATCTGCTTATGAAGAGTTTGTTGTTTTAGAAATGAGAGCTGGTGGCACCACATGTGCATTACATGGTTGAACGCCACTGGATTTTCTTTACGAGTTCACCATAGGCAGCTCACTCCATGCTTGTAGTCAATTTATAGCACTGAAAAAAGTACAAATGCTGAATTTGGAGACATTTCAATGCCATGTTTACTCCAGCAGAAATCAAGCACCTCAAATACATTAACCAAGACTGAAGGTTTTCACTGTAAGATAGTCCACCATTTGAATACTTATCAATTTACTTTCCTACTGTGTGTGTGTGTGTGTGTGTGTGTGTGTGTGTGTGTGTGTGTGTGTGTGTGTGTGTGTGTGTGTATGCCTTGTGATGAAAGTAAAATCCCACCTCTTGGTTCCCACTCTGTAGTTGGAGGGTATATCAATGGTATTTGTGTTGGAGTCGTGTTTCACAGCCAAACCCAAATCTGCGATGACTGCTGTGCCGTTCTTTTTTACCAGGACATTTTTAGACTTTAGGTCTCTGTGAGCAATTGCAGGTTTCCCTGCAACCAAAAAGATAAACACAAATACAGTTTGAGGCCAAAACATGTATATGTACTTGCATCAGGGAATCCTCGTTGTTTATGTGAGGACATAAATTCGGGATCTTGGAGACAATGATGACATTTTTTAAACTAGAGGACAAATCAATCTAACAAAAACTTTAAATATTTAGTTACAGCTATCCATTGAAATAAATTACAAATATTTTTGAAGTGACACATGCATACATATAATGTAGCCTTACCCTGTGTACCAATGATTTCCATGTGAAGATGTGCCAGGCCACTGGCTATAGACGTAGAGAGGACGATCATACCTTCCACAGAGAGAGTGTACCTGTTCAGGTAGTCATACAGGGAGCCGTGCTCATGGTACTCTGACACCAACCACAGCTGGGTCCATGAGCCGTTATCTGCAGCACAAAGGAAAGGAAACAGTTAATAAGGGCACATTTATTTCAAAACTGTAATGTGAAGTTATTTTACTTTTGAATTGTAAGTTAATTGATCTGAATCTGACACCTTTGTTGTCCGCAGCAATGAAGCCAAGGATGTTCTCGTGTCTTAGCATGATGGTCTGAAAAATCTCTGCTTCCCGAAACCACGACCTCTCGTCCCTTGAGGAGAAGATCTTCACCGCTACATCCTCTCCTCGCCACTTTCCCCGCCACACCTCCCCGTATCGACCCTTCCCGATGGACTCTTGCAGAACAATTGTACGAGCTATAGTGCGCTGGACCAGGAGTGGCAGACCTACAAGACACATAACAATGATTGTGAGCTGATATTCATATGCAATCCCTCCATTTGACCTTTATTCCATATAAAGACACAGAAAGAATCAAAGTCTGTTTCATCAGTGCAGCTGACCTGATCCAGAGCCCGAGGTGCTCATGTCGTAAATCAGATCTTTGAGACACTTGTCGGGTGACATGAGCATCTGGTCATCCAGTGGCTCCTCGGGGTCCTGCTTGTGGGCTCTGCTGTAGTAACAGCGGTGACCCTGCACCACAAACACTCCCAGCAGGATTCCCACACACAACAGGCAGAATGGCACCAGGATGACCACAGTGAGATGCTCCTTGCTCCATCCTGGTTCTTGTGAAGGCCTCTCTGCAAACACACACACACACACACACACATATACAGCATGACGATCTAGCCAATATTGTTTATATTTTAGTTCGCTTTAAACAAATTCTACAGGCAAAAGAATCAGTCAAATGAGAGCGAAGTTGCACAGGTCACTCAGCTCTAAATGATTGTTGCTCCCTCTAGTGGCCATTATTGCTATTGCATTGAATTATGAAAACATGTTGTTGGCTAAATTCATCGTCTGAATTACACAATATCTTATCAGTTACACACAACTTTAGCTGAAATATAACCTTAACACAAGCTCAGCAAAATCAAGCCCTCACCCTGTCAACAATCTTCAAATGAAGTTAAAAATGGAACTTCTACTTTTGGCAGATTATTCCAATTCACATCTCTCAATAAAACAAAATAGCGGGAGACATTTTCATCACTGTGCATAGATGTCATTAATACAAAATAATACATAAAAATAGAAGCATTATTTTGAAGTTTAAATTCACTTTCCTTAAAAAAGGAAAAAACAAATCTTAAAACAGGCTTTCTAATTTAAAGTTTGTGACATGCTCTGATCCACAACAGGTACACGTTGAGGCCATGTAATAAATCGTGGGTTTGGATGCACAGTGTGACCTGGCATTTCTCTATCTGACCTTCATTTCATGTGTGGGCGGACATGGAAACCTGGACCCAAACAAAATGAACAGAGATGGTGGGCAAGGATAATATGTGGTTCAAATACTCCTGACAGAATAGTGCACAGTGAACAGCACAAGCAATATCAAAGTTGGATGACAGGACCTGTAAAACACCCAGAATTATTTTTTTCTTCAAATACTAAAACCCTGCAAGATATCATCTAAATTTGATGAAGTCAGATTTCTATAGCTCTATAATAACTTAAATATATTTGAAACAACATAGCCATGTCATCATTGTAATGATACAGACAAGGAAAACATGAACTAAAAAAAAGATTTTTTATTTCTCTGTAGCCTTATAGTCTACTTAAATCCCTGGAGAATTGTATGTCCTCACAAGTGTGAATCAAACATGCAACATCCGCAGATGGTCCAGTGTGCAAAGCAACACATTGTGAAATAAACCCCAGTTTCCTAATTAGTTTTTAGCCTTTTCCCTAAATACATATCCTGCAGTATGTCCAACTGGAGCTCAGCAGATATGATGCAAAACAAGAGTCGCCCCTGACCCAGTGACAAAAGACACCCTACCAACTTTTCTTCTGATTCTGCATGGGTCAAGAATGTAATCTCTGCAGCGTCTACTTTCAACACAGCACCAAATAAATGTTTACAAGTGTGGAAAAGAAACCTCTGCCTTTGACTTCCCCTAGTGACTATGATGCATTCTGTTATTAAAGCCTCTATAGAATTAAGAGCAATAGCCCTGATGAACAAAACGTCTTTACGTATTACCTGAATAAATACCACACTGAATAAGCTGACATGCTGGTATTTAGCAAAGTAGTGTTACAGATTCACTTTGGTTTCCTCATTCACAGTAAACATCATCGCAGCCTCAGGGTGCTGCCCTGACCCACATCAGCAGCATTCTAGTCTACAGGACTTTATATTTTTTATTCTGTAAATGTTTGGAATTAGGCTCTATAGTCTATCAAAGTAATCTGAATTTTAGATGTACAAATCATTGGAAGGAAAACAATAACTTTTGTAACTTTTTACTCTGATTTTGTGTCAGAATTTTAAAAATGACCCACATTAATTTAACCTTGTGACCCAGACTAAAAAATTGTAAATCCAGAATAGGATGGTTAGGTTAGCTGTGGCTCAGCGGTACAGTTGGTCATCATTCAATTGGAATGTGGGTGTTTCAATTCCAGCTCCTTCAATCCAGAAGTGCAAGACACTGAACCCCAAAATTTATCCTGATAGCACAGCACGCGGCTTATGAATGTGTATGAATGGGGTTAGTAAATAGTATGGGCACCTTTATGAAGCACCAGTGATTGTCAATCAATTTCAACTACTTTGGTGCAAATGAAAGTGACAACAGGTACGACAAAGAGGCAAAAGCAAGACAATCCCCCAAAAGGGAATGGTTTTGCATGTGCTGACCACAGACAATTGCTCTCTCCTTATTCTTCTTGACTGATTCTTCACTAGTTCTGCTTGTGTTCTTGTCACTACTGGTAGCATGAGGCAGTACCTGCAGACCAATCAGGTTGCACAGGCAGCCCAGCCCCTCCAGGATAGTACATCCTTACCTATCCTATGTGGTCGTACATGTAAGAAGGTTTGCTGTATCTCCCAGCACAGTCTCAAGAGCAATGAGTAGATACCAGGAGACCAGCAGTTACACAAGACAGCTGGACAGGGTCATAGAAAGACATCAACCAGACAGGTATCTGCTCCTTTGCTTGAGGAGGAACACGAGGAGCACTGCCAGAGCCCTACAAAAATGACCTCAACAATGAGTGTGACGCCCGAGTCCCGCTGTCTGTGATGTTGTCTGAGCTGTGTTTGTATCGTGTTCACATGGACGGGACGGCCGGTCGGCTCATCCCCTTGTGTATAAAAGCTGTTTATGTTAGGCATCAGAGAAAAGAAGAATACCATACTGTACTCACTGCTTATTTGAAAAAGTTAGCATTTTTAGATCAAGGTCATTCCGTGTAAATGTACATGCAATGTGAAGCTACGGGCTAACTGAAGAGCGCTACCATTAGCCTTCTAACACAACAATGCAGCTTGAGACAAGGACGATTTTGTACGCCACTTGAGCATAGCTCTGAGTACTTAATCATGGTGCGTTCCAATTTGAAAACTCCTTTGTGCAAACGTGAGGGGAGAGGGGTTGGCGGTGTGTCGCTGGAGAAGAGCGGTGTGGCGGAGGTGTCGCCAAACAGCTGTTCTTCGTGGTTTCATGCTCAAGGGCGACATCTACTGGTTGAAAAAGTCGCACTGTTTCCATTGTTTTACTAGTTTTCATCATCCTGAATAAAATAAACTGAATAATTATAATCTCTTGAGCAAATCAAAGACTCTCAACCCCGGCCTCTGAGGTGATGATACTCTGCATATATTACACAATAACTTTTAACAAGGACTTATCAGTAGATTAACCAGTATTGAAAGAAGGATTGGATGAAAGAATTCATGTTTGCAAGCACTGAAAAATCTTAGTCAGAAGCCACTCAGTGTTGGGATTATAGTGCAATTACAGAATGGGGCTTTCTTTACTCTCACTAATGAATATGTCCATGTACATGATGGGGAAAATCTCTTTTCTAATGGGCAAATCAACTGCTCTTCTGACTGTTATTCTTTGAAAAGCATCATTTACCAGCTCCTGCTCAGCACCAAACAATATTTAGCAAAGTCAAGCCACAGCTGGTGATGGGAAAGCATTTAGCGGGTAACAGAGTCTGGGGAGTTCACTGGTGTTAGAAAAGCTCAAAGACAACAATTTCATATATCTGATTTACATTCTTTTCTTTTTAAAGGTTCAATTGCCAAACACATATAAAGTACATGCCAAACAAGATATATTCACATACAATACAACACATTAAAAATAGTGTAGTTTCATCCATAAATTATGCTAAGTGTTTTTTCACTGATTTGTATATCCACAGGTGAGAGAAACATGCTCTCTACTTTAAGGACAACTGACACCCAGCTGACCCATGAGAAGCTTTGAACTGGCTGTAGGACTACACGCCTGACAAAGTATTTATTTATAAATCAGGGAGGGAGGGGGGCGGATCGCTAACCGCCGCCCCATAGCTCCTGCTAGATTTGTTATGTCACAGGATCTAGGAGGATCAGCATTTACCTCGTCTAGCCGGGGCCAGAATGAGTGGGAAATCCAGCGCTGATTGAGTTGTTGGTGAAGTTGCATGAACACTGTAGCTACTGAGCAATGTTACATTAACTGACCGTCTGACAGGATTAATCCAGATGAATCCAATTTTCTTTTCTTTTGCATCTATATGTCTCCATTTCTTTCAGTGAAATGCTAAATGTTTCCTTTTTCTTAGATATTCTTCATTAAAAAATTAACTTGGAGACAAGGGTAGCAGAAGTTAAATTTTTTTACTTTTATACCTGGATGTAGGTGCAGAGTCTCATTGTTGCAGAAGTCGGTGAAGCAGCAGTTCCTCTTGGAGACATTTCTGGAGCTGTAGCAGAAGACCTGGCCCTTCATCTCTGCAGGCGACAGGCAGGATTTAACCGTCTCTTCCTTTCCGTCAATCAACATCACAGAGTTCCAGCAGGCGCCGTCTGCCATTGTCTCACAGGTGTTGTTGGGGCACAGCTGGCACACACACTTTAGACCTGGGACACAGGATAAATAGATTAATATTTTCTTTCATTACACCTGTTCATTTCATTGATTTCTCTAGGGTGGAGAAAACAATATGAGACAAACAGTTTAATTGACAGACTCTCGTGGTGGTCAGCGGTGTTTGGATGTCTAGCAGCAGGATGCTCCTGTTATGTAAGAAGGCCCATGCTCTTAAATGGTGGAGGAACCAGAGTAATGCCTCTTAGTTTAACACCCAGATAATCTTGTGTTCCACCTGGAGCTGCAGTCATGCTTTGTTTGATCAGACTGGGCGTGACTGATAAGCAAGCTTGCACTTAAAAAACGACACACTTTTTAGGATTTTATGCAGAAGCTCAAAAAGTGCCACAAAAGTGTCTTTGAGTACCTGAGACTCTATAAATATCATGTATTATTATTATTATTTTTATTATTTTTATTTTTATTATTATTAATACTTTTTATTTGTATTATTATTATTAATTATTATTATTTATTTATTTTTAATTTTTATTATTATTATTATTGTTCAACAAACATATTTCCCAACTGGGAGATTAAAGTGTTTGATTGGGTTGGGTTTGGTTTGGTACAGTGCATTATAGCACAGATACAGTAACAGTAACAGTAACGTAGGGTAATCGTTTCATATCGTGTTGTATGGTATGTACCGTGTTGGTGGTGTTGTATTGTGTTGTATTGTGTTGTATGGTATCATGCTGTGTGGCGTCATATCACATAACGTTGCATGGGATTGCATAGCATAGCATAGCATCATATCCCATCTTAGCATATTGCATTGCGTTGCATTGCATCACAATTTTGACAACAAACTCCACCATAACTGTTTTATCATAGACTGGGAAAAATACATTTTATGAAATAAAAAACTAATATTTTTTATTTCATTGAAACACCTTTGCAATATCATCTTCTTGATGACCAGAACTGTCTCTGACCGTATAATATCTTAACAAAGAAACCTCTAAAAAACAAAGGACTCGAAAACGTATAACTAACGCATCACTAAGTGTCAGTTGGATTTAATTCTTCCACAAGACTCTACTGGTTCATACAGACACCGTTATATGAACCCAACGAGTCTTGGAACACCACAGGCATCTGCATTCACACAATTTTTTTTTTTTTTGCACACCAACCCAAGACTTCTGGAAATATATAATTACTAACTATCATCTCCCAAATCCTTCTGTCTCAAAGGAAAGCTCACATCCATCATTCACCTACACAAACACCAAAATGCTGAACTTATCACCTCTACCATTGCACAAAAGACCATATTACTCAACTGGAAATTCAGTTCCCTTCAAAAAATTGTATTTAAGAAGGTTTATAAAAAAGTCCTCCATCCATTTTTCAGCTATGATAACATTTAATGTGATTTGTGTTATACTGAATGTGAATCCAATTTAGTCCATTTTAAGTCTACATTAGTGGTGATATGAGTGTTTAATGATCAAAGAAATCTATGCTCTGTGTGAAGACTTTGTTAAAACAGGTCAGAGGAACTTTACTGGTGTGTGATTTTGGCAGTCCTTGTGATACGTGTGGTATTTTAGTTTGTGGATAATGTGAGTTTTTGTTTTGGAAGAAAGTTTAATTAATTCAGCATAGTATTGATAAATGTGTAATTATTGGTCCAAATGGCCGGTACAGTAAACATTTACAAAGCTTATTATATCAACACTGCTTGAAGGTTCTTTGCTTTTTGAACACATGTTTTGAACTAAACAAAAAATGTGTAGTGTGGACGGCACAACCTGACCTGTTTCTTATCAAGCTAATCAATGGAGATAAACTGTAATATTTACTTCCTGCAATCTGCTTCAGAACACACACTCAGTCAGTCATCTGCTTTAAAAGCTTCGAAGAGACCAAACATGGATATAGCTCAGTTTGGGAATAACAGAAGTTCAAAAGTTCATCATGTCACTGTCCTTGAGAAAGTTGTTGCCAAGCAACTTCCAGGTTGGAAAGTATTTTTGCCACATTTATGGCAACCTTTCCCTGAATCTAGATTTCTTTTGATGGCTCCTAGTTTGTGTAGAGAGCTGTAAAAAGAACTTCATGTGAAAGAATTCTGATTTCCACACATCAAACAAAGACCAATATGAATTAGAAAAGTATCATGCTGAAAAAATAATACTAACCGGTTCATTTATTACACTGAACATGGTTTACTGTTGTTTATGTTAGGTCAATCTTAAACTATTGTGCTGCTGTTAATAATTCTGAATCTGTTCTTCTTTCAGCAGAATTTAGAAAACAGTGGCGATACCAGAAGTGATGTAAATGCAGAAATGACAATGTTTTCCAGCGGTCCAATCACAGGGCTTGCTGACAACATTAACATCATACAAAAAGGGCTCATACCATTTTAAGAAGACTAGGTTCACACTTTGAAACAGGCTTCAGTTACTTTTACTTTTTCAACAGTTTTTAAAATCAGTTTTTAAAATCAGTAATTTCTCTTAAACTTACTAAGTTTATTTTTGGAAATGTGATGTACTGTGCTTAATTATCAAAAGCATCCGTTACTGAGCCAAAAGAAAAGGGTCCAAGCTTTCATATATAACAAAGAGTAAGGTCTTTTACCTTTTCTTTCATATATAACAAAGAGTAAGGTCTTTTACCTTTTCTTTCATATATAACAAAGAGTAAGGTCTTTTACCTTTTCTTTTATAAAAAGTCTTGAGGTAACATTTGTTATGAATTCATGCTATACATATAAAGATAGACTGATTAACAATGTGAAACTGGCCAGCTGAATGGCTTGTATGTGGCCATAATCAACCAGTTGGCCTTGTTTGAAATAATGAAATATTTCAGTAGTGGACTTCATATATTTATATACGTTTAGATGCTACGAATGACAGCGAGATGAATGATACAACATTAAATCTATAGTCTGCTGTTGCATTGCACTTCATCATAAAGCTGTTCATTTGATAAGAGTAAACCTGAGTGGAGATTCATATTGTACCCCCCTCTCTCTTTCTCTCTCTCACACACACACACACACACACACACAAATCTATATCTTACTTTTTTCTTTCAGACGTATTTGTAGACCAGTAATTTTACTTGATTAAAATGTAATCCCAGTAACTGTACAATCCCTGTACCTACCTGCACACGTCTACATCTCACAGATACATTTCCTTCTCACTCTGACAAACAGTAGCCCAGGTTTTAAACATGGGTTAAGTACCTTTCCATAAAACTTCAGAAAGGTTATGGTTTAAAGATTCTGAAACTCAAACATACATAAAAGAAGGTTTGAAAACACTTCAGTAAATGCATACGTCTAACTATTGACAGTGGAGGGAAACTGTTATGGAAGTGGAGCTTTGATGTGCTATTAATGCATCCCATTTGTAATCATTTCATTGTTAGTTTTCACTGTTTTTCCTTGAAGGTCTAACACATTTTTATTCTTCTGTTTTACCCATTAAGTGAAGTGCTGTGAGGTAATGTTTATACCACGTTAATAACAGTCCTTATCAGGAGAAAACTGATAAACTGGCCACAAATTAGAGCCTGCAGAATCAGCTCAATTAAAGATGAATGCAACAAGCAACCAGTCCTTAGAAAAGAATGCATCAAAAGTGCATTTCTATTTAATTTGTATCAAAGGAGCGGGCCATCAGAACTTTTGGTCTTTTACACTTCCTTTCTTACCCCAATAGTAACACATTATAACAGTCCCACATAGCATGCTGTCAAACAGGCTAATGCTACTCCTTCTTTGTGTATCTTCTTTTTACTGTCAAACTTGATATGAGACATAATATTCAATGAACCAGATGACAGCAGTAGGTGCAATGTCCCAACCTTTTTTCTTATCTGTTTATTACTCTGATAGCAAAAGAAACACGTGTGCGGCAGAAGCGTCTTTTTTATTTATATATATATATATATATATATATATATATATTATTATTATTATTATTTGTTTTTTTACAAAAAGCAGCGTCACAGACCAGGGACCCCCACTAAAACTTTACAACATTCTGCATATTTTAATGTTTGGTTAAAGTAGCCTGCAGATCTGCAAAACCAACACGCCTGATCTGTTTATTTAAGTGAGCTATTTTGGACAACAACTTCAAAAACATGCTCGATAAACACCTAGCCTACAGGTGGCATTAGATTTAGTTTGTTTGTAGGAGTTACCTTCATATTTCCTTCAGATCATTTCTTACATTGGCAGCAAATAATGTGTCCGACAAAAGAAAATGAACTTTACAGGTGTTGCTGAAGTAACCCATACAGTTGGAAAAAGCTTCCTGAGATTACAATCGTGGCTTTTTAAAAGTCATCTGAATAAACTTTTCTCAACCCCGATGGATGTGTAGGTATGGTTGCTGATGAATTACCATTAGAACATATACAGTACAGTATGAATGCATTATCTATCGTAATGCAAAGTGAGTGAGTGGGATGTGTCAGCTACTGTACCTGCAGTCAGCTGGGCGACAGACAGAAAGATCAACGCCGCCTGAAAGCTATGCTTCCCGGCACAAGTCATGGCAAGAGGCGCATCTGCTCCCCCCCTCAGACGCACCTTTTTTTACACACACACTACTCTACACGAAGACACAACGTTACACATAGCGACCAGGTCCGTCCATCATGCTCTACGCACAAACGCCTCGCACTAAATGCGGCCACAGGAACACTGTGAAACGCAACGAGTGGTTTTGCTCCGCCTCTGTTGACTGGGATTAAGGGGGATTAGAGCTGCAGACCTCTGATAAAGACATGTGAATGGGAGGCAGAGAGAAAGTGTGTGGTACATCCATTTAAGTGCAGCAGGTTCTGTATAACACCACCTGCTGTCCACACATTGGTCATGTCTCCAACTCAAGGAAGGTGTCATCTCTTACTAATTCTAATAGGGCCATATTGTTCAAAGTACACTGATTAGATGAATGTTATCCAGAGTTTATGTAAGGACAAACCAGCCAGTCTGTATGGACCATTAACGAATAATTCACAAGCCCACTAAAGTCCTGATTTGGCACACTGAACACACACATTCCAGAGAAAAAGTGTAGCTTTATTAGTTGTCTATTGCCCTCCAATACAAGCTGTGTAGGCCTACATACTATTGGACTAACACATAGCCTAAACTCTATAATAACATGCATAGGTTTCCCAGGGACAGACGCTAAATTTTGCCCCTGCTATATATGTAGGCTACCCTGTTGTCTTCAAGTCCCGATTATTTAAAGTACAAACAGCTGACCTAACATGGCAGTCTTGTTATTAACCCAAAAACCTTCCAGTCTTCCTTTATTGTATAAACACCTGTGTTAATTATCATTTGAAGTAACACACATTTATAGAAGAATGTGCCCAACAAGCACAACATCAGCCCAGTACACACTCAACTAATGGAAGTCCTGCTTTCACAAAGAGCCACAATATAAATGGTTAGTTAATGCACAATACACTTTAATGATACTGTACTTAAGAGGTGCAAATCCCTTAACAGATGTACAGTTTATTAGATGACTAAAGACCAGTTTTCAAGTTTGTGGCCCCCAAGAGACAGGTCAGTGGTTTCTTTGAGAAGTTGGTTATAAAGTTTATTTTGCACTATTTCTTCAATCCCTGTGCAGGCTGGTTTGTTTAAAAAAAAAAACACACACACAAAAAGAAACCATCCCGTCCACACAGGCAGAGAGTAAACACTCTCAGGCGGTGAATACTAAATGAGTTGGCTGTACATTAAACAGAGTGCAAAGTTCCAGCTCGACTGGAGCGCATGTGGTAAGTTATTTACTGCAGGTCAAATGTGACCAAGTTGCTGAGGCTCTATAGCAACAACGGCTGCCAATGTAACCAGGGAGAATAAATGAGTGAGCTCACTCAATCCCAAAGTCTGCAAGAGGCAAGATCAGAAGCACAGAGTGTACATTTTCAAATGTATGGACAGCAAAGTCGAGTCGATGTTCTGCTTAAACAGCAAAAATCTGGAAAGAAATGGGGAGATTAAACTACTCAATCCAAGAACCTCTTCTCTGTTTGAGTCTTTGTAGAAACTAATAACACTGTAACCTCTCAGTGTACCGACTCTGGTTCATTTTGTAATTTAGAGGAAACAAAAATGAAGTCACTAAACAGAAAGACATTAGGCCACAAGGCAAATAAAACATGAGAAATAATATACGAAAACAATCTATCCAAGTGTTTTATCTAGTTCAAAATTAAGGTTAAACATAAGACTGATTTCATTTACTTATGAATGTGTCATTAACTAATAAAAGTATAAAAAAATATTTATTGCCTCTGAGGCAAATGTCAGCACTTGTTCATTCTTTGTTCCTATTAATTTGCAACTCTTTGGTAAGAAATTGATAAAATTATTATCTCTCCCCCTTCATCAGAACAAAGAACACAAGAACACAACATGTATACAAACCCAGCACCAAACCTCACATGGACACGATAGGATTTTTAGAAAGTGCCACACTCTTAACCTGTTGTGTGTGCAGGCTGGATCAGATCACAATGAATATGAAGATGGTTAAAGTAGAAAGTCTGACAGCTGCTGATATATGCAGGCAGGCTGTTAAAGCGTCCTCAGACACACACTGTTGTGTTAAATATCATCCGGCCTGTGACTCCTCCAGCATATCAATGAGAGTGAAGAACCATCCAGAGCCCAGCTTCTGTTTGACATCTGCCAAGAGATTAGCTATGAACGCAGTTTTTTTAAGATCACAGCTGGCAGGGAAATATATCTCAGTTTTGACCTTTTTTTTATAAATGAATGTAAATTAATTTGGTCTTAAAAGTGTAGGTGTAGGTAACTTCTGAGAGTACTGGAATCGATCATGTCAAATAAATAACTTGATACTATGAGTTCAGATTAAACCAACATTTCAACATACTGTGACAAAAAACAAAGGAAACCACTGGAATATGACAACAGAAGTTCTATAGTCAAAACACCACCTTCAGAAAGAACAAATAAAAATGAGCATATAAATCCAAACTGTTGTCAGTAACACAAAGCAAACGAAGACAAGGGTCTGCAGCCATGCTAGCTAGCTAGCTCTGCTAGCTGTAGTATTCAATTTATTTTCAATTTTATTTGTATAGCGTCAACTCATAACAAGTGTTATCTCAAGACACTTTACAAAAAGCAGGTAAAATACCATACTCATTGTCTGTTAACATTACAAAAGAGCAGGTAAAAAGACCTTACTCATTGTTATGTTACAAAAAGCAGGTAAAAGACCTTACTCATTGTTATGTTACAAAAAGCAGGTAAAATACCTTACTTATTGCTATATTACAAAGACCCGGCCTATCCATCATGAGCACTTTAGCAAAGCAGCAAAAGTGGGGGGGGGGGGGGTTGTTCTGGCAGGCCGTAGCATGTAGCTTCCTCAGGTTCGCCCAACCTGCGAGAGCTACAGTCGAAACGCTTTGTTGGCTCACAACAGAATACAGTTAAGTTATTTTCAGTGTCACACAGATTATTGATTTATTTTCCATGGGATGTTCCTGCAACCGTGCGAACCTGAGAACGAATAGGCTGTTTACGCAGTACCCTGTTAGCCATTGCTATTATCTACCTGTTTAGTTTATTTCACAAATGTAATGGAGTGTAAAAGGTTTGAGCTAAAGATGACACTGGACAAAAAGTCACCCTAAGTGATTATGATTCATCCTAAGAGGAACAGTAAAATCTGTACATAATGTCATAGTTATTAATCCAATAGTAGCAAAGACACCTCAAAGATTTAGTCAACCTGCTGGAGTCACAAGAGGAAGAGTGGACGGGAGTCAAAGTCTGAAGAGTTCATTGTCTGGGAATCATGAATGTCTGTGCATTACATCTTAACTTGAGAAATTGTCAACATATTTTTGAAACTAAGTGGTGGACCGAGTGACTGGATCCATGCTGCTGTCACGGCTAAACATGAAGAAACCTGCTAGGTAAAGCATCAAGACAAGAGACAGATATATAACACATCTTTTCTATTTAATTAATATAAATCACTAATTGATATAAAATGTTAATGAAATAAAAAAAAAGGCTGAAGTTTGACTTCATTTACTTGACAATGCACGTGTTAAGACAGTATACAGGCTTTACAGGCTTACTTACAGGCCTCTGGAGGAACAGAGTTCAGCATCATCTAGCAAGATATTTCATTTGTTCTTTTGAGCATTTGCCCTCTGTAAAGCTGAAGAAACGAAACAAAGAACAGGAAGATCATTTAACGTAAGGTCCATAGTGATATACAAAACATTTTCGCGACACCTTTAAAGTTGGACGATATCTCAGGAAAAGAAATGACGCCGGCTGCACAACTAAATGTTACAGTTTGGGTGAAATCCCAAGAAACCTTACAGAACTGTAAACAAAGGTGCATGACATTACAAAGGAAACGTACCACTGCTTGCTGAGATCACTGTTTAAAGAAAGTATGCAGGTTGGATTGGCAAGTTGACTTCTTTTTTTCCCAAATGAATTCACCGTAATGCAAGTGAACAAGGCAGAACAATGAAAAAGATCCAAGTGAATATGTTGTCATGTTCAGACATTTTCAAAACTGATAAATGTGTCTAACAGATTCTGCAGTTCTAACAAAAGCACAGCCTACTCAAATGCTCAGGTAACAGCTTCTTCCTTGAAGAACAATGCTAACAATCCATCTCCGATGTCATTAATTGAATAGATATTTTTCAATGTCTAAGACCGTTGGCCGTCTCAGAAATGTCCGGTAAGCCATCTTTGGATGCCAAAATGTGTCCCGCCAAGTGTTTTTTTAAATAAATATTAGGTCTGTGCCACTATAAGGGCACTGAAACCATCAAGTCTCTTGTCTTGTGATTTTCTCTTCACGATGCTCGACCCTCGGGGATTGTCTTCCAAGGCCTTTCCTAGCGTGTCTCTTCTTCTCCAGGCCAGCCTCAAATGTCTGTTTTGATTTTGTCCAGAGAGTTGTCGATCTTTGTGAGAGTCTTTTTGATGCGTAACGCAGTTAATCTGGCCGATGGATTCTGGTACCAGCACTCCTTCATGAGCTTAGCCATGGAGGTTAAAGTCTAAAAAAAAAGGGAGAATGACACATTCAGTCAATTGTGTTGGTTTTGTAATCACGAGAACATCAAACAATTTTTTGTTTCTGGCCATACCAAAAAAAGCTTGCTTTATTTTTTTACTCACTGGGTCTGAAAACCATCTGTTGGGTATGTTCGGCCTCTGCTGATCAACACACACAACCTTCTTCATGTCCTCAAAGCTGGGATCAGTCGGGACCACGTCATGAAAGGGTGGCTTGTAGTCTTCTACAATGCCTACAAGTGGAACAAAGTTTGCAACAATTCACCTTAAAGAGCATAAAACTCAAGACAAAAGAATGAACTATCAAATCATTAACATTTGAAAATACATCAGGGTGAATGAATAATGGATTCATAACAGAGCAAGACCAGTTTGTCCACATCTTAATCTCAAGTGCAGCCTCGGGACTAAATGAATATCTGAGTTTACAGTGTTGGAGGGACAATCAATATCACAAGTGTTACTGAAAGCTCAGTTGCTAATTTAAAACGATAAACCTCTTTGGCACAAGAGGAGGTTTTATTATGCCTCTGCTTTCTCCACAGACCACAGTCAGTGAATGCTTAAGTTTGTATCAAGGCCAAATGTTTCTACAAGTAGCAGAAGAAAAAAAAAACCTTTTGCCTAGTCTGAGTTCTTCATTTTTCTTCCACACGATCTCTTTTCATTACCGATCAAATGCTCAAACTACCCCAATGCCATCGCTAACGACAATACATCAACCTATTCCCCGACTGATGGATTCGATGAATATTAAGTGACATAAGTTAAGACTTGACTGCACTGAATCCAGCATGTTGTGTTGATCATGTACTGACCGTTGCTGACCGTCCTCCGGGCGATCTCCCACAGGACGAGGCCCAGAGCCCAAATGTCCACTCTCTTGAAGGACTCGAAACAGTCCATCTGGATGGAGTCGTCGAGCACTTCTGGGGCCATGTAGCGCTTTGTGCCCACTTTAGGATTGTTCCCCACATCTAACTCGTTGGTGTCTTGGAAATGCATGACCGCCAGACCTGGAAGGAGAACACAAGAGCACTTTAAAGACCCAGACATAGGACACAATCTCCAAATAATGAATACATTAATTATGTTTGTTGAAATTTTCCTTCCAAACAAAGCTGAAATTACTATCTTTATATTCTTTAAAATTACATAACCTTTTTTCAGTCTTCAGTATCAACAAGTAACAACTATAATATAATTATTTTTGTTGTTGACTGCTTAAAAGATCACTTATAAATCACTTCAGGATTCAAGATGTCAACATCATATTTGTGTGATTTGTACAGCAGATCACAACAGTGTTGATATTGTGATGTCACTGATGTTATTATGCACAAGCTTGATGCTGCCTGAGTGAATAAAAAAAAACCAAATTGAAGTATAAGTAAGCCAAACTCCTTCTTGTGGAGAGGGGTCTACGAATTGTTTTTCAAATTTGGCGAGAACAAAAAAAAAACTTCAAACAACAACATCAAGCGATTTAAAAGCAGTACTTGTTTGTGGTAAACAGCCCTTTCCACTCACAGAGGATGTACTCAGACCAAAGAACAACTGGCTTTGGAGACAAACAAGTGTTGCTGTGTCCGAACTGCGTCATCTGGTACATAATCATTACAACTGAATTTGTAAACATGTCAAGTCTTCACCAGGTTAGGGCTTGAATGTGAATTTTTTTTTGATACAAGCGTTTGCAATGGGAACATTGGTGTTTAGGATAAAGTGGTCTCTTAATGTGTTCTTGATTTAAGCTGAGAGGTTCATTCAGCAGTAGTTTTTTCTTTCTGAATTACCAGCAAATATAGCTAACTAGATAGATAAGAGAAGAGCACATCCTTTTCACATCCTGTGAACTAAATATTTAACTTTAAGCTTTCATAGCTACTGGATTTTTACAAAGAAGAAGAAAGGAAACAAAGACAAAGACATGAACATAAAAAAAATGTATCAGTCCATTTTCTTACCAAGGTCAGCAATGCAGCACTGTCCGTTCTTTTTAACCAGTATGTTTTTGCTCTTCAGGTCACGGTGGGCGATGGCCGGTTTGCCCTGAGTGCCAAAGATCTCGACATGGAGATGTGCCACCCCGCTCGCGATGGAAAGCGCCATGCGGAGGCAGCCGGACGCATCGAGGGTGCTGAGCTGGAGATAGTCGTACAATGAGCCCATCTCATGGAAGTGTGTGATCAACCACAGCTGAGTGCTGGAGTTCCTTGAGGTCATGTCTGATGCTATGAAGCCTGAATCAAGAAAAGAAAGAAACAACTTCTTCAAAATGTTGATCAAAGCAGGCACTTTAATAACACATGGCACATGGCAGGGGATGTGTAGTACACTGAGTAGCAGTTAAAAGCAGGGAGAGATAAACAGCTAATAGAATGGCTTCAGAAACTACATCAACCATGTGATGGGCTCCAAATGTTAACATGCACAGAGAGATACTGTCACATTACCCGTCTGCACTGAAACCAACACTGGCTGCCTTTTTAAACAGTTTTGATTGATCACTTTTTAAAGCTCTCAATGACCTTGCTCCAAATAACACAAAGATCTATTGATTCCCTTTGTGCCTTGGGCGACCTCTGGTGACTGTGTCTATAGTTCAGCATGGCGCTCCTGGACCATGTGACCAAAGGTGACCAGGACTTTGCTGTGACAGCACCTCATACTTAAAAAACAATGAATCTTCTATTTAAACTTTGTTTAATATATGCATATTCTTTTAAATTCTTAAGGCAAGGCATGTTTATTTATATAGCACATTTCAACAACAAGGCAATTCAAAGTGCTTCACACAAGACATCAAAAGCATCAAGACAGAGGAAAGAAAAGAAACATTAAAATAGAAAATTAAAGAAATCAATTATTAAATCGGAAAGTAGGTTCAAATAAAAATAATTAAAATTAAATTAATTGAAATAAATAAAGTAAAAATATAAGAACTGTGTCAACTTACTGGGATTCATCATCAACATCCCTCATTTGATATGTTGTAACTTCATTAGTTTAAGGATCTCTATATTGTTTTTATTTGTGCTTCCCCCCTCTTTTTTTTTTTAAATCAAGCACTCAGCAACCTAGTAAGGGAAAAAAAAGTTATATAATGACTATTAATAATATGATGTTCAACTCTCTCCCTGGTGGATACTGTAATTCCACTGCGGTCTAACCTACTTTAAAAGGAAAAACATCCAATTTTTGAAACCTTCAAACCTGATTACTCCCAGCATTACTTCCCAACTGTCTATCCAGTTCAACCGGGAAATACAGTATGACGATGACAGAAGCTTCTTTTTGTGACAATGAAATGGCAATAGGGCAGGGTTAAAGCTCCTGTGTTAGGTCATGTCTCATCCTGTTTGTTTTTTTAAACAGTCAAATGTGTCACTCATTGAAAATATTTGCCATGGATAATACAAACAAAGGTTGTGTTTGCAGCATGCAGGTACGATCTTTGTCTGACACCTTTCCCCGCAGCAGCAGTGTCAGACATTCAAAATAACTTTATAGGAATCTTCTTGCTGATGATCTTGTTTGCTCTTGTAGGTTATAAGGAGGCATCTGTATTCATTTCAGTCTGTTTCATGATTAGCTAAAAACTCCTCAAAGGAGCTTTAAACTGAACAATAAGTCATATGTATTCTTTATGTCAATATCAAATATTTTGGTCAGTGAGTTTTCAGATAACAGAAGGTCTTAAACTGTAAGAAGTGCATGTGTTTTCAGATTGATTACATATATTCAGTTGTACCAAATAAAGCCTCCCAACACAGATAGAAGTGACAGCAGGATATTCAACAGAACTCTGACAGGTGTTTCGTCCTGCTGTATGTCTTTTTCACAGCTCACTGAACCTTAATGCATGAGATATAGAACGTACCCAGGATGTTCTCGTGTCGCAGCAGCACTGAATTGTAGATCTCGGTCTCTCTGAACCAGGACTTCTCGTCTCTGGAGGAGAAGATTTTGACTGCAACGCTCTCTCCCTGCCACTGACCCCTCCACACTTCACCGTAACGGCCCTTACCTGGCAGGCAGAAACAAGGGAGAAGTTAACAAACGGCACACACAGAAATAGACTAATACAAATATTTGTTTCTCATTTGAGTGACGGGTTCAACATGTTTTAAGATATGAGACCAAGTAAAAAATATTATTATAGCATTTATGCAAGAATGTACCCGAATACATAAATGCAAATACCTTAAAAATCATGATTGTAATTTGCTGAAGGCTGTTCTTTCAAAATTGTATCAAAAAGATTTTTGATATGACCTTCTTTTTTTTTATTTAAATATCTTTTCTAAATGTGGAAGGGTTGCTAATTTATTAATACCATTATTGAAATAAAACTCTACGCTCGCTTGGCCTCGTTCAGCTAATCATCTCTCTGAAAGGAGCAGATTCCAGCATCTCAAATTAAGAACTACTGTACGCTAAGCTTGCTGGCCCACTTCAAAACAGAAGACAAAGTAACTTGATGGATGATGAAGGTTTAGCAGCTGTAGACCAAAATATGTTTTAAATTTAAATTTTAAAGTTAAATGAAATAAGACAGAAATAAAGGCAAAATAAGCACATTCACATCATTTGTCAGAAAACAAACTTTGTAGCTACTGTAGCCATGACTACTTCCTGTGAACATCGAAAAAGTGCTGAATTTGTGGTAATATAATATGATTGTGTGCCCCCAAAATTACCATAAATCAATTCATACTTTATCATTTTGTTAGCATATTTTAGGTAAGCAATTTCTCCCTCCAATAATACAAGTGGTGCAGAAGAGTGATGAGTGAATTTCTTATTTCAACAAGACGAGCTCTCAGCCCTCTACACTCATTTCTATAGCAACGTGTTTGCCCACATGAACAGGGCTGCTGTTTGTAACATTTTCTCTAACATGTAACACACTAAAACTAATCTCAAAAACGACATTTTCCCAACGTTTGGCTCCAGGGAACGGCTGAATTAAAAGGTTGCTGACACTTGTTCATTCATCTTTGCCCAATTTCAGAATGTCCTCACTGCACTGGTCTGTTTAGCAACCCAGATATTTTTTAAAGCAGTGTATTGCTGGTGAATACATGTACTTGTGATGCATGTGTTTTAAGGTATTTGACAATCTACAGTTTTAAAGGCAGATAAATCAGCGTCTTTGTATCTGTGAAGATATGGACCGTTCAGTTAGCAGGTTTATCAAGCAGCTGAAGTCTCACAGTGGGCTTCATCAAAGTATTGTTTACATTATACAGACGTAATAGTATATATTGTATACATGCACTTGGAGATATCTGTCCTTCATACATGGTGCATTAAATTGAGACGTGTCACCTTTTTGGTGAGACTTCACAGCGTTTCTTCTAAGTGTCCACTGTGTCAGCACAGTGAGAGTGCTTTTACTGAAATGAATGAGGGGGCAGCGTCTTTGGAGGGTGTGCTATTGTCAGTGAGAAAACAGCCTTTAACAGGACACTTACCCACACACTCATTGAGTGTGATTTGTCGTGCAACGGTTCTTTGAACAAGGAAAGGGAGTCCAGAACCACTCCCTGAAGTGCAGGAATGATCCAGCAGATCCTGGAAAAGAGGAAAAACAGAAACACACACTGACTAAAGGGCTTGGATATTTACATTTGAGTGTGTGTGTGTGTGTGAGTGTTTTCTAAGCGAGCTATTTTGTAAAGGATTCCCAAAGGAATCCTGTGGCTCGAGCCTTAAAATTGATGAAATAAGGAGCATCTGGGTCTCAGATGGAGATTAATACAAGCAGGCCTTTGATGTGGCAACCACATAGGAAAGAGGGGGTATGCTATGTGTGTGTGTGTGTGTGTGTGTGTGGTGTAGGTGCAGGCTGCCCCCTGCTGAGTAAACAACAGAAGTGCCACCCCCTTCCTTGTGACTGGTGTGGGTGCTGGAGATTTTATCTAATCCATGGGCCAGACTCCAAAACAGGCGCAATGCTGCTAAGCCTTTTATTTTTACCTCAGACAGAAGAAGATGTGCAGCCTCAAGGCCACAAGGGGGCAGTGCACAGCAACAGAGTCAGCAGCTGCTTAGCAAAAACAAACCAGCAAACTAGGAGGGGAGGCTGAGGTTTGGAAACAACAGAGAGTGATGCCTCAAATAAACAGATGCATAATGCAGGAGGTGCCTGAGAGACGTTTTGGAATCACAACACAGGAATGAAAGACCATCAAATGAATGATGAGTCTCTTCGGCAGAGAGTTTAAATCGCCCGCTTTGGTACAGGAGGATTGTTTCGAGGGGGGCATATTTGGGCCAGGCTGTCAGGCGGCAGAAGCAGAAGGTTGCAATATCATAATAATCAGTGACGACTTTTGAGCAGTGGGCGGCTGAGGGAGAAGCACATGTGTTTGGGTCTGATTTGCTTTTCACAGCCGCACCGCTGTTCCTAATAACCCGTCTCGTGATCTTGCCAAGAACTTTTTAATTATGCTGAGAAAGAAAAAAAAAAAAAAACATTCTGCGGCTCCATATTTGGGATTTTTATTGCCAAGTGCATTGACAGACTTTAGAAAAAGCGTGGAGGGAAGCCAAAATCAGCTATTCCTTTGACACACACCCACACACACATGAATAATCAGTTCTATGTTAACAGTTGGGCATTCATTTACAAGTTTTATAATAAGATAAAACCGAAATATTGGGAAGTATAGTGACTGCTGAAAAAGCTAGATTGTATACATGTATTATTTATTATTTCTTAAAGTATGTGTAATATAAATCTTTGTAGAGGATTCACTGTAAAGTTACAAACTTAACAGTTACAGGCGTGCGTTTTAAACGGCAAAAACTAGACCTTGTTTAAGTTTCTCCTGAACTTGATTCCAAGTGTGTGAGCCAGTGAATGTGCTGGGTTGTCTTACAGACTGAATGCTAACCACAAGACTCCACCTAAACTCTGGATCAGTTTAGTGGCTCTCCAAACAGAAACCACTCTGCAGAGAGCTTAACATCCACGCTTGAGTGGAGAGAAAATAAATAGCAAAAGACATTCCTGCACCGACTGGAAAAAATGACTAAAAAGATGCTTAACAAGTTTTTCCGAACTTGAATTCCACCACACACACTCTCACACACTCACACACACATTTTGTGCATATGTAGCCACCATGCTTTCAATGTTTTTAGATTAGAATGACCAAATACTCTTGGGATTATGATCTTGAAAGTGCACAAAGTTCAGAAGCCAGTCTGCACAGCTGAATTTAATCATTTTTTCGAGACAGGCCTTGACCTCAGAGAGCCTAAGCAGTAAGCACTAAAAGGTATTAAGGCTTAAACATTACTTGAGTGTTTTTATTTCACCAGAATTTCATAACATTTACTGAACCAAACTTTTTTGGAGAGCAGCACTTAGTGTGTTACTCCAACCATCAAGTGCACTGGGATTTAGTGTCTGCATTAAACCGACAAAGTTTTAGATACATTGATTTGCATTTATAACTTTTGGTCCAGTGAAAACGTTTTCTTTTGTCTGAACTTGAAGGGAAGTTTATTTCACTGTCATGATGTTGCATGCTAAGTTTCTTCAACTTATCTTCACTTTTGACGACAGTAACAACACCTGAACGTCTTGATCTCACATCTGGATTAGAAAGAGTCAAACCAGGTTTATCAGGCCTCTGTGTCTGGATTGTATGTTATCTTGTGGGATATAGAGCACACGAGTACAAAAGGCCGGAAGTCCCAACTAATCCAAGCCAAACAGTGCTTTGACGCATCAGCTGAATCCTGCAGTTACTGCAACATATCATTTTGGATAAAATACACACTTGCACTTCAGAGCAATTTTTTAAAAAGGACTACCCTACCAACCCCATGTAGAAACAAGATTGGATGTGCAATCAAAATGATTTACAGATCTATGAGATAACAACGAACACTAGACAACCAGTGATTTTCATTGCTTTGCTGCTTTAAACTGTTTGTTTTTTTAACAATTGCAAAGCATTGTAAAGCGGTAAAAAAGATAAAAGCTTGAATTGTGATCAGTTGAGGAATGTGAAAAATGTTGTGAACATATATTTAAAAACAACCTAATGCTTTACATCAGTATGTATGGAGAAGGAGTTTCAGCTATCCAAAGAACAAAGTAAAAATCTTTTTTTTTACTGATACTGATCCCATTGATTTCAAATATCCTCTAAAACTGATAAATATGTAAATCATTTTACATATTTCAGATGGGCCAATGGAACATTTTTTTCAGACACATGAAGGAGAACCAACACCATTTAGGTATGACATGTTTCCATATATTATACACGACTGAGCAGTTTTGTTCTACTTATTCAAACTTCTCTCACACAGCAGAGCATGTGATCATTAAAGTTTACTTGGTGCAGCTCGCTACAGTTCTTTCTAATATGTTTCAGAGGCATTCTCCCACATGTGTATGCAACACTCACCGCCAGAGTGCTCTCCCCCACGTTGGACGCTATCAGGCCGTCAATAGTTCCATATTCTGCATCTCGTGATGTCAGTCTCTCCATTTGGTTGGTGTGGATGCGTCTGAACACCAGAATGGCGACGGCAGAGAGAATAATGAGGACGATGATGGGTCCCACGATGACTAAAGCCAGTGTGGTCACGCTGTAGTTTGATAGCTCCTCAGCTGTGAGGGGGAGAGAAAAGGAGGCACAATGTGAGAGATCGCTTCAGACTATCAGGTCATGGAATAGAATTGTTAAAAAAAATAGCTGTATTTTTAAAGATAACAGTGTGCTTGAATCTGTGAGAAGACTGAGTTTGGTTCCTCAAAGGTATAAAATATATATATATATATATATTATAGACTTTATTTGGCATGGACATCACAGATACATTGGATGAACCAGATGCATTGTTTAAGTGTTTTAGCAAGCATGCTCGTTCTCAACACCGGTCCACAGGAGGCTTTTGAAAGGAAAACAATTAAGATAGGGAGAAAAGTGATAAAACAGAGAAAACAATAAGGAGAGAATAAATAAATAGACATAAACTGTAGAGCAAAGGCAGCATGATCAAACAATAAACCAGTCAGAACTTGCTCCATTTTAAACATAAATATAGCAGATATCAAATATATCCTCATTAAATTAATCTGTGAGTAATGCCTTTCTAAAGAAGAGTGAATTCAAACTCCCTCTGGTCTTGTTGTTTTTGTTTCTTTGTTCACACGGGACAGGACAGAGTTTCCTTCAGCTTGTAATGTTTCGCTCAGAGGCTCAAAAATGTTTCATACACTTGAGACCCTCCCTGTCTGACCTTCAGTCCAGCCACCACTTGCGGGGAAAGAGAGACCTCTGACCAACGTAGGGATGCTGCTGGTGGAGGCATAATGGCGGTCGCAAAAGTACAAGTCAAGAAGAACCAATAGACTTAGCAAACAGACTAAAATAACTTTCTTGGGTTAAAAAACTTCAAAAGAAAATAGAAGTGAATTGACATTGGGCTGCATATCTGAATGGGGATCAGTTAGAAAGGGCTGCACTTGGTCAGAACACTTAAAGGGTTGTGGGAGGAGGGGAAGCGGTGCACTGAAGGGACAGCTTTGTTTTGGTTTGAGAGACCGGTGCAACATCTACTGGACATCTAGTTTGGAAGTTGCATACTATACTTTTCATTAAAACGATTTCACCAGAAGTAGTTTGAAATGTTGAGGGCAAACCTCCACACACACACACACACACACACACACACACACACACACACACACACACACACACACACACACACACACACACACACACACACACACACACACACACACACACACACACACACACACACACACACACACACACACACACACACACACACACACACACACACACACACACACACACACACACACACACACACACACACACACACACACACACACACACACACACACACACACACACACACACACGTTCTCTGTTGCGGCCTGAGGAACTGACCACCATTCACACTTTCCAAACATTCCAAGGAAAAAGACGGCACGGCTCGGCCTGTAGCACTGACAATGACCCCCTTCTCTCAACGCTTATAATGACCTGGAATAAACTCTAGAATAGACATACAGCTACATATTCTAGACATGAACCAAAAACACACAGAAGGGGTGCATTTAGCTAGAAATTGGGGGCAACAATGACGTAACTATAGCATAATTACGTTGGAACATAAGGCATTAGAGAATAAAGCAACACTGTGAAAATACTTAAATGACTCTTTCATCCAGATTTAAAATTCTCTAGCTCTCATCTAGTGCCTAAATGTAAAAACACGGAAGGATACAGCCATGGTGTTTGTGGTATACACATGTAGAAAGAAAGTGAAGGTGAAACAAACAACAGCTCTGTGTGTAGAAAGCCTGCCTCTCCTTCAATCCCCAGGTGGCTTCACCCCCCCTGGGCTCTTAGGGTCTGCCAGCTCTGACAGCCTCAGAGAGCACAGAGAGAGAAAGTGGTCCGTGACTAAATCATATATTCTAAACCTGTCTTTTGGTTGCCCATTGGCTCCTCCATATTTGTTTCAGACGGTGCCAGAAGTGTGACCACACAGAGATGTAACTCAGACCAACAGAAAAACATCAACAACAAAAAAACAACAAGATAATTTCACAGCCAATCACAAAGCCCCTCTGAGTGTAGCAGGATAGAGAGCAATTCATGTTTATTTGTCCTAAAAGGTCACAACTGACCCAAATGGTTGCGCCTATTGTTCTTTTTTTTTTTTGGACCTGGAGAAGTGATTTGGAGTGCACATACTTCAATGTCAGTTCAACAGAAGGAACTCTTTAACACATGAAATGCAGCCACATCTCAAACTGTGCTTAAGGTGCATTCTGGGTAGTCTAGATGTACCTTTGACAGGAAGCTGCACAGTGCTGTTCATGTTGCACAGATGCCCGTGGCAGCACTCCACAATCTGCTCTCTGGAAGGTGGGGTCTTGCAGGTCAACGTGCTCTGCTCGTAAACCTTGAAGCAGCCTTTCTGGTACACCTGGGAGCTGCCGCTGACCGTCAGGGAGGAGAAACACTGGTGGCCCATGCAGCGCCTCCCTGTTACACATGAGCTGCCCTCACACACACACTGATGCTCCTCTTTGATCAGGGGCTTTCCCTCTGCAAGAGATTCAAAAAGAGCACATTGATGGAACATAACAACATGTAGAGGTAAAAAAAATATATATGGTTGTATTTGAGAAATTTAAAGCATTTTATTGTGTTCTTTTAAATTAATACAAGTAGTGTTTTGTCGTATAATAAAATTGTGAGGGACATAAGGTCTATGAAGAACAGACGCCAGGAGAAATGTGCACAATGTGTAACAAAGTCACCTTTCCCCGGAGCTTGCACAGTGACGTTCATGTTACACAGATGGCCCTGGCAGCACTTGACGACGCGGGCCGACGAGGGCGGCGTGGCACAGGTGGCTCTGTCCTCCTCGTTGTCCCTCAGGCAGCCCTTCTGTTGGACGGCCATCCCATCAATCATCTTCAGGGAGGAGAAACAGTGCTGGCCCATGCAGCGGCGGTCACGCTCGCACACACCGCCTTCGCACACACACTCCTGCTCCCTGAGGACCGGTCTGCCAGCAGACGGTTCTGTAGCTGATAAGAGGAAACAGAGATATGGGGAGGGGGGGGAGAGAAACCATTAGAGAGGAACCATTAGTATCCCATTAAATGAAATGGCATTCACTTAGGTCAGAAAGTTGGAAGGGGCTGTTGGCTAGCTGAAGAGGCAAATCAAGTCAATTTAATTTTCTGAGTGTGTACATGTCTGTGTGAAGAAAATATTGTTGCTGATTTTAACTATATTGCACAGTCCAAATGGAAAAAACTCAACAGAAAGGGATTGTGGCCAGCGATCTGATCTGTACTACAGCAGAAGTTTAAAGGCCTAATATGTGATTTTTTGATCCAGCAGATGTCGCCCTTGAGCACCAGCATGAAACCAAAACAACTTGCGCTGCATTGTTGTGTTAGCATGCTAATGCTAGTGATCTTTATTATGCTGGTATCTTCACACTGCATGTAAATTTACCTGAAATGAGCGTGATCTAGAAACACAGTTAAGCAGTGAGTACAGTATGTTATTCTTCTTTTCTCTAGTCCCTCAATTAAACAACTTTTATACGTGAGGGGAGGAGTCAGCCGGCCGTCCCGGTGATGTAAACAAACTGAAGATAGGACTCTGAAAACTCTGAAAACATCACAGACAGTGGGACTCGGGTGTTACACCCATTGTAGACAGTCATGACTCACAGAGTTATTTTCAGAGGATATACTTGATTTATATTATATTTAAGCCTTTAAACAGTGTAATAGTCACTAACATACAAAACACCTCACCTTTAACCTGTGACTGTAAGGAGATGTTCATGTTACACAAATCCCCAGAGCAGCACTCCACCACCAGCTCAGGCGTTGACAGGCTTCTGCAGTGTAGGGACCCTTCCTCACCAGCCAGAACACAGCCCTTTTGGAGAACAGTCGTCCCGTTCTGTATGGATAGGGAGGCGAAGCACTGCCGGCCGACACATCGGCCCCCACTGCTGCAGGACTCTCCGTCACACAAACATTCAACATTTATCGCACCAACATCCCCTATAAAAAAAAATAAATACGGAACAAGTCAGATATGATCTTTAATTGGCTCAAATATGTTTTGTGACGATACATGAACAATGCTTATCCTTCTTTTATAAGGATGCATGTATTTTTATTCTAATCATGGAGAGAAGTGTGTGCAATCCACCCTATAAAAGCTCCACTTTCCACTGCATTCCTCAGCCACTGCAGTTGTTTAAAATAACACTGAGAGACAGCAGATGAGAGGCAGACAGACTGAGGAGGGGCGGTGATAAGGGAAAAAAAAAATGTGTGAATTTTTGGTCTTTGCCTGTGTGAGAATTAAGGGGGACAGGAAAACACACAATGGGAACAGATCAAGTACAGATCTTTACCTATGTATGTGATTGGGACAAGGCTGATGACTTTGCATTTCTCATCATCAGACATCATAAGAAAGCTAAGTTAAACCAGATCCTGTCTATTCATGTGAGCAGAGAGCTCTCCTCCCCCTTGCTAACGCTTTCCCTCAGGTCTGATGTGACAAGCTGTGTTTTATTTTTTTAAAAGATGCTTACCGTCCAAGCTCGAGCAGGAAACGACCAGGGCGATCAGAACCAAAAGAGACAAACCCCTGACCGTCATGGTAGACCTAAAGGGAAAAAAAAGAGCACAAACCTTAGGACTGCACTCTAATGAATATTTGGATTTTGCTAGGAAAAAGGGCAGTCACTGCAGCCACAGTCAAGGATTGCCATTTTTGTGTTGTTGTCTTCAAAATATTTGGGTTATTTTTGTGAACAATCTTTGTGGCATACCACGCAGTGAGACATAACACCACAAGAGCGAGACAGATACTGACAGAATATGCAGCTGACCTAAGAGTATTACAGAAAGCAATTTTACGGGGGGGAGAGAGAGAGAGCTTTCTTATTTTGGGGGAAGAAATCAAAAAGAGTCAACACCAAGTTTTAAAATGCTCATCTAAAGTGGGTCTCATGCCTTCCTGTTGTCCTGGCAACAAGGCATTGAGTGGCAAGCAATGGGGAGACTGGTGCTTTCCTATTGGCTGCCTCTGTGCATGCGTGTGTGTGTGTGTGTGCGCGTGCGTGTGTGCGTGTGTGCGTGTGTGCGTGTGAGTGTGTGTTGGAGGGACAGGCTGCTTGGCAAGTGTGAGGGGAGAGGAGCAGACAGACGAGAGGATGAGGAGGAGGAGGAGGAGGAAGAAGAAGAAGAGGAGGAGAGGAGCGCAGCAGGGAGAATGAGTGTGGGTGCCCAAATACTATCGTTTAGAGACCTAGAGACAGTCTGATCCTTCAATATTTAATGTGTCTGTAGGAGTGCCCACATACGCCACGGAGCTATGTTTGTTTGCTTTACCCAGTGACACATTTTAGCTGACGACCAGTTTAACTCGCACACTGTAAACTCATGGGAACAACTACACATTTTGTAAAGATGATATGTGAGCTTTGTGGAGACATAGTTGCCCGAAGCATGCCCCGTTTATGCCGTATTCAGCACTGCGGCTGTTATCTTGGAAGCATGTGTGTGTGCGCCTGAGTGCATCTGTGCCACAGATAAATACCCAGTGCCCCTTCCCCTACCCCTACGCCTACCTCTACACCCCCCCCCCCCGCTAGGCCTTTGTGCCTGTCTTGCAGACATAAATGATTAAGCACGTAATGTTAGCATTAGCCCAACGGCGGCGTCTGTACGGGCCGCATGCACACAGACCACATGCTGCTCCTTTAATCAGAGCACAAAACAGAGGCTGCCACACAGAGATAATCAGGAGCTCTGTCTGCTCCCTTTGGACCAGGGGAGAGAGAGAGAGAGAGAGAGAGAGAGAGAGAGAGAGAGAGAGAGAGAGGGGGGGCAGCAATGGGGGCATGAAGAGGGCATGTGGAGGCAAGGGAGGTACATAGCCAGGGGGCAACTGGGGGACAGTGGGTCAGAGAAGGGCAGACAACAAGGCTAATGTGTGCTGCATGCATGGATGTAGGGCTAAATGTAGGGAAGTGGGACAAGGAGGTGTCTGGTGTCAGAGCCCATGGGGACAGCAGGAAGAAGGGCACCATGCTGGCTGGGTGTGGTGGGACGGGGCCGGGGGTGGGGGGGGGGGGCTGGAGGGAAACAGGATAAAGAGATAAGCAGATGCGTAAAAGAACAATAGTCTGAACTGAAGAGCAACTACACTAGAACCAAGAAAAAAGTTATTCTGTCTTGCTGGATATCTTCATATTGACTCATATCAGTCATGTAGAAAGAGAACAATATCCTCACACACACACACACACACACACTGCTGACAGATCAATACCTACCTCAATTATCTAAGTAGAGCATGTCATGGGGCTCGGTTTAATGGCTTCAATTAGTGTAGGTAAATGATTTGCTGCGTTTTCTTTGTTTACATTTACTGCTGAAAGACCCTCGACGGGGTGTTTAAGTCATCTCCCTCTCTATTTATCTCTCCCACGCAGACACTGTCTTAAATAAGCTGTGGTACAGTGGGAAGACGCAGCCAAGTAGAAGAGTTATAAGTCTGTAGTTATTAACACAGAAGATATTTCAGACTGCAGAAAACCTTTGCACAAAGTGCTCCACATCACACACACACATCAGGCAGACCTAGAAGGTAACATACTGTCATGTTAGATAACAGCTCTGCTAGACAAACACAGAGCTAGCACCGGTCATGATATTGGAAACCTCGGAGGGGATTCTTGGAAAGGAGAGAGGCAAGGGGGCGAGAGCATCTGCAGAACCGATTGCGATCTGAGAAGACAACTTCATGGCGCTGGCGTACGTATAAATGTGTGAGTGTGTAAGAAGTGTGTGTGTGTGTGTGTGTGTGTGTGTGTGTGTGACGTATGTTTGTTGCAGTGCTCCATCCCTGCGTATTGAATTCTCTGGCAGTGCTCCGCAGTGTGTGTGTGTTCACTGGGCTGACATCCTGCCAAGGGTGTGCTCTCATTTCCCCCCTCTCTATCTCTCTCAACCCCCCATCTTTCCTTTTATTCCTTCTTTCCTTTGCCCTCTGATGTGCTGCTGAAATAGGAAACCAGGAGAAACGGTATTTATAGCTTACTCTCTTTATGTTAATTGCTGTTGGGACTAAAAGTCTAACGGGCCCTACAACATTATGATTCAAGCAATATTTTTTATCAAGCTTAAAAAGGAGGCAAAATGCTATTTCAACTGAGTGAATGTACGCTGTTTGTTTTACACTGCATCGTGTGACGAGTCCTTCACTTTTACTCTCACCTTCAATCTCCTTTAATCAACACTTCAAGGTGTCTAGAGCTCACCATTTTGCATCTAAGGTAAGTACATCAAGTACTGTTGAAGTGCTGCTGGTTAACCCTTTTCAGATTGCAGTTCCACCTCATGAAGCACCCTCACATTTCTGTGACAGTCATGTTGACGACGAGACATCACAGGGGCGTATACTTAGAGCCTCGAACTGGCAGCGTGAATAGATCTTCATCAGAGAAGATCTGCTTTTTTTTCTTTTTATTTTACATTAAAACATTAATTAGGTGCGAAAGTTCATAGTACTTTGTAGATGTAAATTTTACATACAAAACACAGCATGTCAAATACACACACTGAATGTCAGCAGACACAGCTCCACCTTAATCCAGCTGAAACACATAAAGGCTACTTCTACTTAAATAAACCTGTAATATTCTTGCATAAAGAATCACGGGGTAACTTGTGATGTGATACGCGATTCTTATCCCATAATAACAATTGTATCATGACATTACAATATGGACATAATGTACCAAAATCGTATAATGATTAGAGATACACCGATTGGGCAGATCAGGACTGATGTTTCAAAGAACAATTCAGCCAATTTGACAATTCTGATGTTTGTTTCCTGACTTTTCTTTTTATGTCACAATGACAGACATTTTCTCTCATGTTTGACAGTTTGTTCAACAGGTGTCTTCATGTGCCCAATAAAAAAAACCCATCTTCTCTGAATCAGTCGTTAGGTGCACAAGATGCCTGGCAGCATTAAATTCATTTGGCACAACAAATAAACATCAGCGACTTGCCACATTATTTGCCGATGTGTAGATATCTGTCAACAGGGAGCGATATCGTCAGATACCGATGTTGATCCCTCATAATGATTCATCACAACATCTTAACAGGAGAAAAAAAAAAAAAAAAAAAAAAAAAAAAAGGAATACTACAAAAAGCTCGAGTGCAGGATTACAGTATCTCATCACTGTAATCTGGTGTCATCCTGCATCTGCCTTTAACTTCTTTTCAACGCTGTCCAGCATTATTGCGCCGTCTTCTCTTCTCTCACTATCAACTTCATGTTTTTGCCAATTCACTTCGGTTCATGTCTTCCTAATAAAACTACCATAGAAAGTCAGCCACTAGTTGTGACATCATGTGGTAAGACACATTATCAGGGTAATCTTTCTGGAACGCTGTATTTTTTTTATTTTTTTTAATCAACATGGCAGCAACGATACGATTGAATTATATCACACCAGTCAGAACGATGTCATACTGCTGAATCAATGTCCCCCTTAGTTTGCATTTATAAAAAGTAGTCCTTGTGCACAGTCAGTACTTTTTTTTTGCCAAAAATGTATGCCATTACTTTAGAAATGATTCTCAAAGCAGTGTTTTATATTAAAACTGATGGACTTGTGCTTTCCACAAATTAATTCATCTAAATATTTATTCAGCTGCAGGTATTTGTTTGATGATATCAATGCCTCTGAGATGTGTAAGCCCTGACCTCGCCCTTGGAAATACAGAAAACCACATTCAGCTCCACACGAGGACACCGAAGTGAGTGTGCAGCCCAGAGAGGAACAGACCGGGCCCAGTGAGAGGTACTTTAGGGTCGACTCCTGCTGATTGCTGCTGGAGATACTTGAAAGTGATCCTACATATCAAGGCTCCCACTTTACAACGCCACGTTTCCTTCTCAGACTTTTTTTCCCCCAATGATCCCCATCCAGAGGGCCTTCTCCATAAGCACGTCTTAAAGAAGCTGAGCAGAGCTTAACTTGATTAGATGGAGATGATTAAACATGCCACTCAAATGCAGTGATTTATCCATTTGAACCACAACAGAGATGCACTCAGACAGTTATGTTGGTTTAAATACATTTGAGGAGGTGTTACATATTCCCGCTAACAAGACTTTGCCTTTACATGTCCTGGTGAGTCTAATGTTTTATTTCTTTTTTTGTGTCTCTAGGTGACATTTTCAAAGTGATTTTTTTTTTTTAAATAGCTTTCAACAACAAATAAAACCTTTTAGTCTGGTTGCTGCTTATTTTGGTCTGTTTCATATTCAGGTCATGACGAAGGAGAGAATGACAAAACACTACTTTGTCTGATGAGCAGTGATGTATCACTGAGGTTGAGGAGGGAGGAGGGCTGGAGGCCCTGCAGGAGCTGCTGACTCATCATGCTGGCAAAGAGGGAGACGAGGGGTGGAATCTGTGTCTGAGCTGGCAGGCTGGCACAGTTACCGTGGCACAAATAGCCTGGGCACCGAGGAGAAACTGCAGCAAACTGCGGGGCGCTCGGAAAAGAGAGCAGGCGGAGACTGGGGCAATGCAGAGCCCGCTGTGTGCGTGTCCCTGTTCCATTCCCCAGACT